GGGCTCCCCCAGCCCAGGTCCCCTGGGGTCTCAGGCTCCTCCTCCTGGCTCGCCTCCCCCTCCCTTCCCCCTTCCTCCCCAGGGTTTAGAGCTTGAGGAGAACTTTAAGCTGAGAAACTTGCCACTAGCCCCGCAGAAGGCAAGCTCTAAGTTCTCTCCGCGTGCGGCCCGGGGGCCTCAGGGGAGGCCAGGCTCGCAGGGCGGGCGTCTGGGGTGCGCCTGGTGCAGCCTGCGGCTTGTCCTTGGCTCTCCGCGGTGCGGGGCGCGCGGGCTGCGCTCCCAGCCGCGTGACGCAGAGCGCGCTGCGGGCCGCGCGGAAGGTGCGGGGCGGGACGGCGTGGGGTGCACGCTCAGCTCAGGATCCGGGCGTGGGGTGCACGCTCGGCTCGGGATTCGGGCAGCGCGAGTCTCCGGCAGGTACGAGCGCTCACCGGGCGCACAGCCCCGGGCTGCGGCAGCGGCAGCGGCAGCGGCAGCGGCGGGTGGGGGGACCGGCGCCGGGCGGGGACGCGGGTCCGGGGAGCGTGCGCGGGGGTCCGCTGGGGTCCCGGGCGCGGGCTCGCGTGCGGAGCCGCGAGCTGCGGGGACCTGGGCTCAGGCCGGCAAGGGCGCGGGCTGGGGAGCGGCCGGACGCGGCCGGGATGCCGGGAGGATGCGGCTCCGGGGCGCTGCGACAGGACGGCACGGTCTGCCGGGCAGGCAGTGCCTCGCCCGCCCGGGAGCCGGGGGGATGGACTGGGCGGATGCTGGGCTCTTGCTCCGGACCCAGGACCACAGCACCCACTTCCTCCGCCCCAGGTGCGTGTAGCAATTTGCGATCTCGAAACGCTTTCCTCCCCAAGGACTGAGAAGACCCGGAAAGGGAGTCTGCCGGTCTAGGGGGAGAAGTAGAGGTCCCACATGTAATCCCATGACTCTGTTTCCTGGTCTTTGGGGTCGAGATTGGGGGGAGGGGTGTGAGTTACATGGAGCTCCTGTCTCTGAGTTCCCACGGTCCTGGGTCCACGTGGCAGCTGTGAAAAGTTGAGCCCTATAAGAAAAGTTCTATTCTGGCCTTGATGTCTGTTCCCGAGGGACCGGAGGTTTACACGGGGGATGAGGTCTTTTCGCCTCCACACCTGGGACATGGGAACCTCAGGCTCTAAGCTGACACCCATGCGTGTGGGCAGCCTCTCCCCAGGCCTCGGCTCTGTCCCTGTGGGATGGCTCAGTGCAGCGCTCAGGACCGGCCACTCACCAACCCTGGGCCTTGATGGCAACAACTAGTTCCACACTCTTGCCAGGTGACATCCGTGGGCGTGCATGTTGTATGCTGGATTCTTCCTGTGTTGGCAGCCACCATCTCCCCATTCTCCTGGAAGCCAGTCATTTCAGAGCGCTCTCCACACTGCTTAGTGGGCAGCTGTCAGGAGAATGCATGAACGAGTGCTTCAGAGTTTCTTAGACAAGGTCCTTCCTGGCACACACTTACTGCTACTCGGCTCATTCCATCCTGCCACCCTATGGCCTGTCCTATGCTGGGCCCAGTCCCGAGAGGGGGTGAGAGCCATCTCTATCCCAGGTCCTCCCCCCACCCCCACACCCCCAGGCCCAGAGGAGCTGTCTGCCTGTGAGATTCCTGCGCCTCGTTTTCCTCTCTGGCAGCTGTAAACCTTCCTAGCTCACCTGCGCCCATAGGGTAGTCTGTAGCCCTGCCAGGGCCACACAGGGTTAAGGTGTCACCTCCACATGAGTGCTGGCTGGACCTGGGGAGCCGCTGGGCCAGCACGGGGTCCCGCCTTGTCCGATTGGGCCGCTGTAACAGAACCCACAGATTGGGCGGCTCATACACAGAAGTTTATTTCTCACAGCTCTGGAGGCTGGGAGTCCGAGATCAGAGTGTCGGCAGGGGTGGTGAGGGCTCCCTTCCGGAGTGCAGACATCTCCTGGGACCTCACAGGGAGCTCTCTGAGGTCTCCTTTATAAGGGCGCTAATCCCATCACGAGGACCCCATCCTTATGACCTCCTCACCTCTCCAAGGCCTCACCTCCAAATACCATCACCCCAGGGGTTAGGTGTTTAAGGGACCAGGGACATTAAGGAACCAAGTTTAGACCGTAGCATTCCACTGCTGTCCCCTCCAAATCCACGTCCTTCTCACATGCAAAACACATTCATTCCATTCCAGCAGCCCCCAAAGTCTTAACACATTCCAGCATCAGCTCTGAAGTCCAAGTTCCCATCTAAACCTTATCTAAATCAGATGTGGCTGGTGTGGTTCCGTGGTTGAGGGTAGACCTATGAACCAAGAGGCCATGGTTTGATTTCTAGTCAGGACCCATGACGAAGGATCTAGTCAGGATCCTTAGTGGGAGGTGTGCTGGAGGCAGCCAATCAATGATTTGCTCTCATTATTGATGTTTCTATCTTTCCCTCTGAAATCAATCAACCAATCAATATATAGATAGATCAGATGTGGGTGAGACTTGAGGTGGATTCCTCCTGAGGCACGGATGTTCCTCTCTAGCTGTGAACCTGTGAAACCAGACGGGTCATATGTTTCCACAATATAGTAATGGGACAGGCACGGACAGCCACTGGGGTGGGACCTGGGCTGGAACTGCGTGCCTAGGGCTTTGCTGGTCTGGATTGCCTGCCCCCACGGCTCCACTGGGCATTGGCCTTGCCGTGCCCCTTGCCTGGGCCCATGTTCCTGAAGCTCTGGGTGCCCCCATCCTTCTGGATGCCCCAGGCTTGTGCACCTTCACACAGCATCGCGGGCTTCTCTTGCACCACCTCCAGAATCTTCCCACCTCTGCCCATCATCCCATTTAAAAATATATATATTTTATTGATTTTTTTTTTTTTACAGTGAGGATGAGAGAGGGATAAGAAAGCTAGAAACATCGATGAGAGAGAAACATTGACCAGCTGCCTCCTGCACATCCCCCACCGGGGATATGCTCCCAACCAACGTACATGCCCTTGACGGGAATCAAACCTGAGACCCTTCAGTCCGACACTCTATCTACTGAGCCAAACCGGTTTTGGCCCATCATCCCGTCTTAAGGCCACGCCCACCTGTGTAAGGTTGGACAAACAGCACCCACTCCTGGTGCCAGTGTTTTGTATTCATGGGGGGGAAGTGGGTCTCCTCTGGGCAGGTCGGGGTTTGGGGGTGGGCCTGGCCAAGGGGTGGGGGGGGGAGGGAAGGGGGCTGCAGAGGTGAGGGTTGGCTGGAGCCCTCCTGTCACTGAGCATTTTCCCAGGGTCAGCGGTCAGGTGGCTGAACTGCAAGTGTCTAGCACTGGGGCTGAGCCAGGTGAGGGCTGGGTGGGCCCTCACTCTTGACAGGTCCCTCGCACCGCCCCAGGGCACAGTGACCACATGTTGAAGTGGATGAATGGACGGGAAAGGCCTGTCTGTGAGTGACCATCTTGTGTGATGGAAGGCGATGTGGCTGGAGAGGGCTTCCCGGTGGGAGAGGGAGGTGAGCCTTCGTGATTCTCTTGCCCCAGGAGGCCCTCTTGCATACCTTCAGAGCCACTGGGTGAGGGAGTGACATCATGGGGCGTGCTGCGCCTGCACAGCCAAGGGTTCGGTGAGCCTGAGGGAGGGCGGTGAAGGATGGAGAAAAGACAGACAAGAGAATAAGCATGGGTCTGGGTGGATCTTCTGTGCCTGGCTGAGGCCACAGAACAGATGCAAATAACAAGGCTGATGCTTTATTTATAGCCGGGGCAAACAAGGTATTTACAATGTTCGTGTAAGTTTTGCTTGTTTTGACAGCACTTACTGCCCCTCCCACAGCCCATTAGCTATCCAGGAAAGATCTAGGGAGCAGTTACAAGATCAAGCCTAATTATGCTTAGAGGACCATGCCCTCCAAGCTGGGACTTGTTTGTGACTTTGCCAGCAGGTCAGTCTGAGGTCTAACCCTATAACCGCGCCCTACAATGAAGTGCTGTTGTGGGGTGACATGGGGGTGCTGTTGTGGGGTAACATGGGGGTGCTGTTGTGGGGTGACATGTGGGTGATGTGGGGTGACATGGGGGTGCTGTTGTGGGATGATATGGGGTGCTGTTGTGGGAATGGGGTGATGTGGGGTGACATGGGATGCTGCTGTGGGATGACATGTGGGTGCTGTTGTGGGGTAACATGGGGGTGCTGTTGTGGGGTGACATGGGGGTGCTGTTGTGGGGTGACATGTGGGTGATGTTGTGGGGTGACATGGGGTGTTGTGGGGTGACATGGGGTGCTGTTGTGGGGTGACATGTGGGTGATGTGGGGTGACATGGGGTGCTGTTGTGGGGTGACATGGGGGTGCTGTTGTGGGGTGACATGGGGTGCTGTTGTGGGATGATATGGGATGATGTGGGGTGACATTGGGTGACTTGGGGGTGACATTCCAGGACATGATCTCCAGCATCATGGCTTTAAGGAAATCATCTCATCCTCAGTGATGGCGATGGTGGCATTAGCGCTGGAGCAAAGGATTTGAGAAAAGGAGACCTGTTCCTTTTTGGGACTTGTCCCGTGGGCGGACAGCTGTGCCTCAATTTGAAACCCTTTGTACTTAGTAGGGTCTCTTCCTTTTGGAAAGTGAAAGCAGTGGTCACACATCAGGAGCATGGCAACAGGATGTGGTGTGTTTCCGCATGACCGGCCAGTTCCCTCTGGGCCCAGCTGCTGGGTGTTGCTGGAGGGTGAGGGTGGAGCTCTTTCTCCGGCCCTTCCCAGTGACCTGAGCCCGTGTGAACGGAGCCTGGGGCCTGGGGATGTGCTTGTGCTCCCACACGGCCCAGGCACCCCAACGGAGGGACAGGGTTCCGGGCAGACGGACAAACGGCCGAGATCCACCCCAGGAACCTGACAGGCCCGCTCAGGACCCCTGCCCCCTTCCCCTCTGTGTGTTTCAGCCGTCCTCCCCGGCGCATTCCCAGAATTCTCCGCCGAGCCAGGCTGAGCAGAGCCCGTCGTGGGAGGCGGGAGGCCGTGGAGGCCGGAGCAGGCCGTCAGGATGGAGCCCTCGGCCCTGAGAGCTGGCTCCATGCAGGAGGACGGCTTCGGGGTGCAGCCCCGGAGGGTGGCAGACCTGGGCCGGGTCCCCAGCCTCCGGCGGAGCAGCAGCAGCCTCTGCAGGAGCAGGCGGTCGCAGTACCCCTTCAGCAGCTGTGAGAAGGTAGGCTTCCAGGGGCCGGGGGTCCCAGAGCGCCCTGGGGCCCAGTGACCACGGAGGGGGGTGTCCTGCTGGGCAGAGACCCCTGCCCTGGGGGCTGCAGCCCAGAAAACCCCGGAGGAGAGAAAACCGGAGAGAACAGCAGGTGCCAGTTCGTTTCCCCATCCCACCCCCGAGTGGGTGCACGATCACTTTCTGTTCCGACTGGGAGGTGCTGAGTAAGCACTGCTGCCCTGGGATGCACCAAAAGTTGTCACCCTGACCCCACAGTGCAGCCGCTTCCTGTTCTCTGTCAGACTGGGAAGCCCCAAGCACGACCCTAGTCCTGGGCCAGGTCACGAGGCCTTGGACAAGACCATGTGGGCTGAGCACGGGTCCTGTCACCGTCCCTGTGAGCCTGCTGACCCCCCAGGACCAGGACAGGTGTCCAGGTTCCCCCCCCTTCCCCACCTTTCCACCACTCCGCGGCGTTCCCCGGAAGCATGCTGACACAGACTGAAGGTGCTGTGCAAACTCAGGTTGGGCCCAAGAGGAAGCGCTTCCGCAGGCTCCCTCCTCCGTCTGAAGCACACACCTGAGCGCCGAGGGTGGCTCTCACCCATGTGTGGGAGGGCCTGGGTCTCCCTTTTCCGAAAAGCGCTCCTTGGAGTTTGTGGGGTTGGGAACATTCGGGTCTAAGGAGGTGTAGGATGTGCAGGCCTGAGTGCTCCTGATTTGATGTCCGAGGATCTCCAAGAATCATTGTTTACCCTCAGCAGGAAAATCTCAGCTCGTGGATCCCTGAAAACATCAAGAAGAAACAATGCATGTACTTTGTGGAAAGCTCCAAGCTGTCTGATGCTGGGTAAGGTCCCTCTCTCTGTCCCCACGTGGAAGGCTGGTGAGAGCAAGGCTGACTAGGGCCTCAGCCGGGCACGGTCGCCATATGCGCCCAGGGTGCTTGGATCCTCCCGTCTACCCCAGGAGCTTGCCGGGGGAAGGAGGCTTGCCCCGCCCTGCTTGTTTCTCCGCCGAGAAACAAGGTACCTGCCCTTGACCGGAATCGAATCCGGGACCTTTCAGTCCGCAGGCCGATGCTCTATCCAACCTCTTGGCAGTTGAGGTGCAGAGATTTTAGGGGGCTTGTTCAGGGTCTGACCGTGGTCACTCTGCAGCGGTGCTTGGACCCACTGTGGTCGGCGCTCCACGTTCCTCAGCTCGAGAAGAGCTCATGTCCATCTGGGTAGTGTCACGGGGCTCGGGGACCGGAAGGGACCTCAGGGAACATCCACAGCTCAGACTTCTCACTTAGGAGGGCCCTGGCAGACCGGCCCACCCTGCTGCAAGGCGAGTGGGCATGGGTAAGGCCACCAAGGCCACCTCCGTGGGCCCCCACCATGGCCACGTTGCCTCGAAGCTGCCCGAAGTTGCTCTCCTGGCCGAGGGCTCCCCAGCAGGGTGCCCCTGAGTTGTGTGAACCTGAGGGCATCTGGAGAGGGACCCCACACATTCCTGTTCCTGGGTGCCCTGGAGTGGCATCCATGGTTTTATTAAATTTACTAAAGGCCCAATGCATGAAATTCGTGCACGGGGTTGGGTGTGTGTGTGTGTCCTTCAGCCTATTCTGCCCCTCTCTAATCTGGGATCCCTCGAGGGATGTTAAACTGCCCATTTAGACCCAGTGGGATCAGGTCTAAATGGGCAGTCGGACATCCCTCTCACAATCCAGGACTGCTGGCTCCTAACTGCTCACCTGCCTGCCTGCCTGCCTGCCTGATTGCCCCTAACTGCTTCTGCCTGCCAGCCTGATCACCCCCTAACCACTCCCATGCCAGCCTGATTAATGTCTAATTGCTCCCCTGCCAGTCTGTTTGCCCCCAACTTCCCTCCTCTGCTGGCCTGGCCACCCCTAACTGCCCTCCCTTGCAGACCTGGGTTGATTGCCTCCAACTGCCCTCCCCTGCAGGCCTGGTGCCTCCCAACTGACACCCTCCCCCTCTGCTGGCCATCTTGTGTCCACATAGGGGCAGGATATTTGACCACATGGGGGCAGCCATCTTGTGTGTTGGAGTGATGGTCAATCTGCATATTACTCTTTTTTTAAAAAATATATTTTTATTGATTTTTTTACAGAGAGGAAGAGAGAGGGATAGAGAGTTAGAAACATCGATGAGAGAGAATTATCGATCAGCTGCCTCTTGCACAACCCCTACTGGGGATGTGCCCGCAACCAAGGTACATGCCCTTGACCGGAATCGAATCCGGGACCTTTCAGTCCGCAGGCCGATGCTCTATCCACTGATCCAAACTGGCTTTGGCTGCATATTACTCTTTTATTAGATAGGATAGAGGCTGGTGCATGGGTGGGGGCCAGCTGGTTTGCCCTGAAGGGTGTCCTGGATCAGGGTGAGGGTTCCCTTGGGGCATAGGGCAGCCTGAGCGAGGGGCCTGTGGTGGTTTGCAGGCTGGCCACGCCCCCCAGTGACCCAAGCAGAGGCCCTGGTATCTGGAATTTATTTACCTTCTACAATTGAAACTTTATTGCCTGGAGTGGAGCCAAGCCCCATGCTCATTCTGGCTGCCATTTCTGTTTGGTTTTATGTATCTTATATAAATGAAACTTTTGAAACTTTCTCTATTGAAACCCAAGCCTCTCAACTGCTCTCTGTGGCCGCAGCCATCTTGGTTAGGGTTAATTTGCATGCTTGCTCTGATTGGCTAGTAGGCATGGCTTGGGGCGTGGCTTGAGTGGAGTTATGGTTAATTTGCATATTATTCTTTTATTAGGTAGGATTAGGATAACGTGGGTTAATAACATTGTATAAGTTTCAGGTATTATGCAAATTCCATAATTTGACATCTCTGTGCTCTATGGTGTGCTCACCATCCAAAATCTAATGTCCAATGTCATTGTGTATTTGACACTCTTTACCCTCTTCTCAACCCCCCCTCTAGGAACCACCGTACTGTTGTCCGTGTCTGTGAGTTTGTTTTACATTGTTTGCTGTTTTATATCCCATGTATGAATGACATCATATGGTTCTTGTCATTTTTCCATCTGACTTATTTCACTTAGCGCGATACTCACAAGCTTCATCCATGCTGTGGCATATGGCAGAATTTTATCTTTTTTAATAACTGAGTGATATTCCACTGTCTATATGAAACATGGGCACTAAGCTTAGGGTTTCAGAGGGGATTTTGTGAACTTGACTTCAAAGGCAAGGGAAGGAAAAGAAAAAACAGATGAACAGACCAGCCAAACTAAAAAGCTTCTGCACAGCGAAAGGAACCATCAAACAGACAGAAAGGCAACCAACTGAATGGGAGAAGAGATTTCCAAACAATACATGTGAAAAGGAGCTAATATCCAAAATACATAAGGAGCTCATATGACGAAACCATATAAAACTAACCATCCTATTTAAGAATGGGCAGAGCATCTGAACAGATACTTTTCCAACGAAAACATACGTGTGGCCAATAGATAGATGAAATGGTCCTCCACGTCACTAAACATCAGGGGAGTGCAAATCAGAGGTGGGCTGTTACCAGTAAGGCAGCTGTGGGTGAGAACTCGGAGGAACGGAACCCTCACCTGTTGCTAGTGGGAATGTAAAATGGCACAGCCACGGTGGGAAACAGTTCCCCCGAAACTGAAGACCAGAGCCACCGTGTCACCCAGAAACCCTCCTCTGTTGGTATTCTTGAGGTCGAACAGGGCATAGATTCTAGGCCGTGTCTCCCTTCCAGACACACCGTAGGCTGTGCTGTACCACAAGTGGCCCACACTGGTTCTTACTTCCCGTCACGTGAAGAACTCCTATCTATCCTTCCTATCAGAGGTGGCCTGATGCAGATGCCACCTCTGCCAGGGAGCCCTCCTTGACCACTCCCCAGGGAGCAACCGCTTCCTCCCACCACACTCTGAGTAGTTGTCTCCTCGGAGTCCTGATCTCTGACCAAGGCAGAGTCACTTCCTGCTCCCCATGATGGACACATCGTCAGCATCCAGCTCACATTTGCTGGATAAAATGGGAGGAGGCGTGTCCTGTGTGGAGCAGATAGAGGAGGGTTGTGACTCGGAATCAGAGGTGGATGATCACTGGTTTCTGGGATGCTATGATAACGCCCAGGGTGTTGTCACTAGAAGTGCCGCGTGGCTCTGTGTGGGGTCTACACCCTGGCTTGGCTCCTCCTCGTCAGACAAGAGCTTCGTTTCTCCCAGCTGGTTCTGGGACCGATACTGAGGGAGGAAAAGTTGCCACCAAGCTCCAGCTGACAGCATGTGGCTGGTGCCCTTGAATAGACTTGGTGTGTGGTCGGAGTTTCAGGTTTACCACCCATTCTGACAACAGACTGCGGGCTTTGCATTGAGTTCTCCAGTCTTAGTTATTTGAAAACAGGCTTATGAAAATAGCCTGGGAGGGAACTTGTGATACACAGGAAGGCTTCCCGTATAGGAATCACGGGTTTCAAAAATGAAGACTGTAGTCTGGTTTCTAGTTTATAGGGTTCACTGATGGAACCCTGGCCCCTTCTTTCCTCTGAACTCTGAACCCATGGAGACATATTGACGGGTTGGTGAGGGCTGGGGGGTAGGGGGGCGGGAAGCGGGGAGACAGGTTGGATTTGAGGCAGAAATGGGGCTTTCTGCTCCTGTCCACTTTGAAGAAGTAGTGCTCAGTATGCGTCTGGTTCTGAAAACTTCCAGAAGCCCCTTTATTAGTAAGGGGTTCAATGCAAGGAGATGCTACAGAGAGGTAACAGATGGAGTGGCCTATCGGTCCAGGTGTTACCTGAAAGGGTGTGTGTGTGATGTGTGTGTGTGTGTGTGTGTGTGTGTGTGTGTGTTTGTGAGTGACTGCCTGTGCAGCTTTGCCAGACTGCAGGCAGGGCCCCCGATGGCGGGAAAGGTGTGCTTCCCATGGCTGCTAGCAGAGATGTTCTCATTTCTGCTCATCTAGGCCAAGCTCTGGGAGCCATTCTGACTGGTTTCTGGGTCAGCGGTTTCCATGTGGTTTCCTGCACCGTCAGGCTTGGAAACACCACGTAGATTCAAGCTCTCATCTCATCAGAGGGCAATGGTCAGAGGACGGAAAGGAGGCAGCTTGCCACAGGCTGACCGCTAGAAACACAAGACAATCTGGGGCAGCCCGGGGCCAGACCTGAGCTCCCACACCCTCTCTTCCCTGCCTGGGCCCATGCGTCAAGGAGGCCACACGAGGTGTCACCAAAGGGCCCTGTGAGTCTGAAAGCGCCTTGCGTCTGCCAAAGGGTAGGAGGGGAGGGTCACATGGGCCTGTGCTCACAGCCCCGGGAACCCCCCCCCCCCCATGGGCAGCAGAAACACGGGTAGCCAGGCCCCACTTCACGAGCAGTGAAAGAACAGCTGGGAGACCAGCACCCTTGGGTTGGGGGCACTCTGAACCACCCTGGGTTCTCTGCCTGGTTAATTTGCATTAATAACATCATAAGTGATTGGCCTACCTACATCCTCATTGGACCTTCACACATTTGGCAGGGTTGGTATCGGGAATATATTATTTTCCCCATTTAATGATGGAGGGCCTGAAATTCAAAGCCCCTAAGGTCACACGCTTAGCAAGTGTCCAAACATCTGTCTGCTCTCTCCTGGTCCGGGAGTCTCTCCCAGCATCGTCCGGCTCATGTTTTAGACTTTCTTTCTTTTGGTCTCATCTGTGTCTGGTCTCTCGGGTCATTTGTGAATGATCGGAAAGAAGGAACCTAGAACATTTGTGGACTTGTCGTTGGACAAGGTGTCATTGGCTGGGTGGGGCAGGGGTGCCTCCTGACGGCCCCACGTGGCCAGCGTGGACACCGGGGCCGTGGCTGGGGCCTCTGGCTGCTGGGTGGGGGTGAGAGTCCTGGCTCTCTGCGGGGCCTCCTCTGACACCCTCAGGAGCAGGGGGCCCCGCAGGGCCGGTGGTGACCGCGGCATCTCTGCAGGAAGGTGGTGTGTGAGTGCGGCTACACCCGCGAGCAGCACTTGGAAGAGGCCATCAAGCCCCAGGCCTTCCAGGGCCACGAGTGGGACCCCAAAAAGCATGTCCAGGAGATGCCGACAGATGCCTTTGGCGACATCGTCTTCACGGGCCTGAGCCAGAAGGTGGGAAAGGTTGGTTTCCATCGCCCCGCTGCCCTTTCTGTAGACCAGAGCCCGCCAGAGGTGACCCACAGCGGCCAGAGGTCCGGGGTGGGAGTGGGAGGCTGGCTAAAGCTCTGGGGGCACACACCCTTCCGGCATAAGGGATGGGGTACGTGGGGGCTGCACAGGGCGAACAGGAGACACCTGCTCTCCGCCTCCATGGCCACTGCAGAGCAGGCTGGGGCTGCAGCCCGGGGGGTGGTATCTTCTGGCTGGGAGGCCTGGAGGTTTGCCAGGCCTGGGAGGGCTGGGGGGCACCTGGGCACAGGCACAGGTGGTAAGGAGGTGGGAGGGGACCTGGGGAGGCAGGTAGCAGAGGTGAGAGCTTCACAGGAGGCCGAGCAGGGTGGGGCGGGATCCCAGTGGAACCTCGGACCTCTGGGGGGTCCCTGGACCAGCAGCATCAGTGAGCGGGTTCTTGGCCGCACCGCAGACCTGCATATTTGGGAGCCCACTCACCTGCATCCTCACTAGCCTTCCGGAGGCTTCTGCCACAGCCCCTGGGCACCACTGCCCTGTGGGGTGTGGTGGAGCCTCTGGGTTCTGAGTCCGATTTCTGGAACCTCTGAACCTCATACCAGCTGGGCGACACCTTCCCCCTTCGCTCCTCTGAGCCGCCCATGTGGCCAGGGAGGGGGAATCGGGAGGGGGGTGGTGTCACACCCGTGTCCTCCAGCCCTAGAGCTGCCCTGCATCAGCACCGCCGTGTGTGGGTGCACCCCAAGCCCCTGTCCCCTGGAGCTGCTCCCAGGGTGATTGCAGGCTGGCAGCCCACCCCGACAGCAGGAGGAGTCCCCGAGCAGCCGGGGGCAGGGGGTCTTTGGCAACATGCAATCGGGGGAGGGGTGGCTCAGAGCAAGAGCTAGGTGTCTGGACACGAGGCTGAGGACAGCTGTCCTCACATGACAGCCAGAGGTGGGGACCCAGGACGGTGCTGCCGTGAGGGAGGTGGCACCGGGTGAGGAGAAGGGAAGACACGCCAGTGCCACCTAAGAGGGGTCAGCGATAGCCACGGCTCTACAGCGACATTGGGATCGGGACCAGGGTCCTCAGGCCTCGGAGGAGTGAGAGGAGAGGGTGCTGTGGCCCCCAGCTGGGGAGCTGGGTGTGTGTGTGTGTGTGAGGGTGACAGCTGGCTCCTTAGGCTCCTGTCACTCCCGATGGCCTCTCCTCCGGCCTTCTGGCCTTGGTCTCCCTCTTCTCTCTCTATTCGAGTCCTCCCTGGACATAACCCTTTATACTCATGGGGCCCAGACCTAGGGGTGAGGCACCTCCACCGGGCAGGGACTCTTAGGCATGGCGGGTGTGGGGTTTCGGGGGGTTTGGGTGGTGCCCGCTGACCAGGGGGCTCCTCTGCTGTCTCCTCACTCCCCTGCAGTACATCCGCCTCTCCCAGGACACTCCCTCCAGTGTGACCTACCAGCTCATGACGCAGCACTGGGGCCTGGACGTCCCCAACCTGCTCATCTCGGTCACGGGCGGGGCCAAGGACTTCAACATGAAGCCCCGGCTGAAGAGCGTCTTCCGCAGAGGCCTGGTTAAGGTGGCCCAGACCACAGGTGAGCGGGGACAGCAGGCCAGACCACAGGTGAGCGGGGACAGCAGGCCAGACAACAGGTGAGCGGGGACAGCAGGCCAGACAACAGGTGGGCGGGGACAGCAGGCCAGACCACAGGTGGGCGGGGACAGCAGGCCAGACCACAGGTGGGCGGGGACAGCAGGCCAGACCACAGGGAGGCAGACACCAGGCCAGACCACAAGTGAGCAGGGACAGCAGGCCAGACCACAGGTAGACGGGGACACCAGGCCATAACTGGCGGGTGGAGAAGTGTCTGTTCAGATTCACCCAACCTCACCTGCCTGAAGCACCTCCTTCACCCCCTGCTGCCATCCCTGGGCTTGCTCAATGGGGCAGATGTGGCTCCACGCAGCTCCCGATGGTGGTGCCTGCTGGGCATGGAGAGGAGGCTGTTAACCCTGGGTGTCGGTGAAGCGTCTCTGTCAGCGAGTCTCTTTGAACTTACCCCTGAACATGGGGTTGGAAGCCCTGCAGAGCCGGGCATGAGCGTCAGAAGCACAGGCCCAGGCGTCAGTGTCTGCGTGGCAGGGTGCACACCAGGACCCACGGGCCTGCTCGCCCCGCCCCCCCCCCCGCTCCTTCCCCAGGGGCCTGGATTATCACCGGGGGGTCCCACACCGGCGTGATGAAGCAGGTGGGTGAGGCCGTGCGTGACTTCAGCCTGAGCAGCAGCTGCAGCGAAGCAGAGGTTGTCACCATCGGGATTGCCACGTGGGGCACCGTGCACAACCGAGAGGGCCTGGTCCACCCCATGGTGAGCGCTTGGGCCCTCCTGGGGAGGGCAGGCTCCGAGGGGTGCTGCTAGGGTCTTAGGGTGCTGCAGTGGGCAGGCCCTCATCTCGGCCTGTAAATGCACCATAGGGGAAGAGGCTGAAAGGAATAAAGGGGACACGGGCTCAAGTCCCCCGTGCCACAGACCCTGGTGACCTGGGACAAGCAGCTAGCTTGGCTGGACTCTGGTTTCCCGCTATAAGATTCCAGGATCGGTTCACAAAAGGTCCCTAACGTGCCACCACTGGTCACCTTAACGGCTACCCAAGGATGTGAACTGGACTTAGCAGAAGGAAGTGGCATGGCCAAGGTCACAGAGGGGTGAGCACCTGCCATGCCTGGGACAGTTAGTGACTTATACATGTCATGGCTTAGAGCCACAGAAATGGCCTCCCCTGCAGCCTGGAGACCAGGACTCTGAGATCGGCATCACTTGGCCTAAATCAGTGGTCGGCAAACTGCAGCTCGTGAGCCTCATGCGGCATTTGGGCCCCTTGAGTTTTTAGCAAAGGCCAGCTTAGGAGCACCCTAATTAAGTTAATAACAATGTACTTGCCTATATAGCTGAAGTTTAAAACATTTGGCTCTCAAAAGAAATTTCAATCGTTGTACTGTTGATATTTGGCTCCGTTGACTCATGAGTTTACTGACCACTGGCCTAAATTAAGATGCTGGCAGGGCCTTGCTCCCTCCTAAGGCTGTAGGGAGAAGCCATTCCTGCCTCTCCCGGCTCCTGGTGGCTGACGGGTTTCCTTGGCTTGAAGCCGCATCACTCCAGCCTCTGTCTCTGTGGTCACAGGCTAAAGATGGTTATGGTGGCATTTAGGACCCAGCTGGACAGTCTAGAACAATCTTCCCACGTTAAGATCCTTAACTCGGTCACAACTGCAAAGGCTTTTTCCAAATAAGGTCACATTCACATGTTCGCGGGGGTTAGGGCCTGAAGTCTCTTGGGGTTATTTCCCTGCCCCCCTGCGCCCACTTCTAGCATTCACCATCCAGAACTTCCCGTCCATGTGTCTGACTCTTCCCTGGCCACCCCCAGGGCGGCTTCCCTGCCGAGTACATCATGGACGAGGAAGGGCAGGGTCACCTGACCTGCCTGGACAGCAACCACTCCCACTTCATCCTTGTGGACGACGGGACCCACGGCCGCTATGGGGTCGAGATCCCCCTGAGGTCCAAGCTGGAGAAGTTCATCTCGGAGCAGACGAAGGAGAGAGGAGGTGAGGCAGCACGCTTCCAGGGGCACCGCAGGCTGGTCACAGTGACGGGGGCACAGCTGGCGGCCACCAGGACATCCCCCAGGTGGGGAGGGGCGCTTAGGGCACAGTCTGAGCACACTTGGATGTCTTTACACTGAGTCCGGAGGTCATCCCTCGTGCCCCGTGTAGCCAGGGGCAGGAAGTCAGGGCAGGCCCCGGCTTTTCTGCTCACGCTCAGGTCAAAGACCATCCTGCAGTCACTTTACAAGCTCGACCTCGGGTAGAAGTAAGAAAGTGCACCCTAGGGCCCTGGCATGTTTTCCCCTGTGGGTGGGATGGGATGGGTTCTCGGACAATGGGGGTCAGAGATGGGGTTTGGGTGCGGGCAGGACCCGGGATAACAGAGGCTCTGGCTCTGTCCCTGGGTTCATCAGGCACCATGAGAGCAGAGGTTCTCAAGCTTTGCTGCACAGCAGAGTTCCCTGGAAGGCTTGTCAGTCACCCCCCGGGCCTGCCCCTGGTCTGTTCTTGCACAGCAGAGTTCCCTGGAAGGCTTGTCAATCACCGCCCCCCGGCCCACCCCTGCTCTGTGACTCAGGTCTAGGTGGGCAGCAGCTGCTTCTAGGCTCCCAGGTGACACTGACTTGCTGGTCGGGGCCGCCCTCTGGCCCTGCTTGGACTGAGAGACCCAGGGGGGAGTGTTAGGCTGGAGTGAGTGGGGACAGTGTGACTGTGGCAGCTCTTAGAGCAGGTTTGCTGCTGGGGAAGGACTTTTCTAACGGGACTCCTGGCTGCAGGTGAGGAAAGGCTCATGGTGGGGCCAAGTGTCTGGTTCGGATGCTGTGCTCCCGGGCCACACGGTGCATTATGCCCACCTGCTTGAGTGTCCCACGGCCTGCCCGGACCCGAGGCACCATGAACGGGCTGCAGAGAAAAGCAGGGTGGTCATGTGGCGGAGCCATCGCAAGGCTCTTGAATTTGCTCTCTTATGTAGGACAGGCAGATGACGTGTGACTCCACAGCGTCAGCCTTATTTACTTATTTTATTGTTAATTCTCATTCAAGGATATTTTTCTATTGATTTTTAAGAGAGTGGAAGGGAGAGGGGGAGAGGGAGAGGGAAAGGAAGAGGGAGAGGGAAAGGAAGAGGGAGAGGGAGAGGGAGAGGGAGAGGGAGAGGGAGAGGGAGAGAGAGAGAGAGAGAAACATCGATGTGAGAGAGATACATCGATTGGTTGCCTCCTGGAGGATTGAGCCTGCAATTGAGGCATGTGCTCTTGACCCGAATCAAACGTGAGACCCTCAGCCCACAGGCTGACACTCCAACCACTGAGCCAAACCAGCCAGGGCTAGCGTGTCAGCCTTTGAAAGCTGCTGAGCACTGTGACACTTCCTCGCTATCAGCCTGGAGCTGCAGGGGGTGGGGCAGCACCCCACGTGGAGTGGAGCCCCACATGCCCTCCCTGGGGCTCTGTGCTTCGTCCCAGGTGTGGCCATCAAGATCCCCATCGTCTGTGTGGTGCTGGAGGGAGGACCTGGCACGCTGCACGTAAGTACTGGCCAGTGGTTAGGGGCCCCTGGGGGTCAAGTCCAGCTTCTGGGGGGACAGCTGACCCAATGCTGTTCCCAGCATCCTATTGGCCACTGGCAGGAGAGGGTGAGGAGCTGCCCCAGGAGATGGAGAAGGGGCAGCCCCCTTGCGGTGGGTCCTCTCCAGGTGAGGGGGGATGGGGCACTAGCTATGGCCCTGGGCGATGGACCAGTAAGAGGGGCTCCAGAGGGGACTGCAGCAAGGATGGGGTGACGGTCCTCTGCCTCCAGGACCAGGATAGCCACGGGTGTGGCAGCTGGACATCACGGAGGTTCCTCAGTGGTGTTAACATGCTGCCCACGGACCTTTATTCTGAGCCCACTCCCCAGTGTGTGGCTCACCTCGTCCGTGGTACCTCCGTGCAGGAACGTATGTGACGGCCCAGCCTGCCAGTTTGGGGCAGGAGCATAGAAAACGTCGTTAAACATTCCGTCACCCCAGGAGGTGAAAGTGAAACTCAGGGGTTTCCTGGGGTGATAGGGACACATCTGGTCCTCACGCCCGCCATTCTCAGGCTCCTCCTCATGGTTTTCCTGCTCATGGCACAGCGCCTGCTCCTGGGGAGGCATCCTGCCACTGGGTGAGGGGCCCCTTCCCGGAATTGCAATCATACTGGGTCCCTGGGGGCATGTGCCCTTGGCCAGAATCAAACCTGAGACCCTTCAGTCCACAGGCTGACACCCCAATCACTGAGCAAAACCAGCCAGGGCCAGAGTGTCGGCCTTTGAAAGCTGCTTAGCACTGTGACACTTCCTCAGCGAGACGGGGAACCCTCTGGCCCAGGCAGCACCCCGTCTCTGGAGATGCTCTGGTGTCCTGCTCTGGAGCCGTTGAGTGACAGGTCTGGAGGAGATGGTGTGTCAGCTGGACACTCCCCAGCATCTCAGGATTGGCCGTCTGCCCCCTCAGAGCAGGGGCTGCTGCGGCACTGATCAGCATTCTCAGTGAATGTCACTAAAGCCCTGAGCTCAGGCGTTAAATGCTGTCAGAGAGTTCCCCTTTTCGGGAAGTGTGAGCGTGGCGAGGGACCGGGTCCCGCTCACCGTCGGCCCCTGACTTGCAGACCATCTACAACGCCATCACCCACGGCACCCCGTGCGTGGTGGTGGAGGGCTCGGGCCGTGTGGCGGACGTCATCGCGCAGGTGGCCGGCCTGCCCATCTCCGAGATCACCATCGCCCTGATTCAGCAGAAGCTGGCCGTGTTTTTCCAGGAGATGTTCGAGACCTTCACCGAGGGCACCATTGTGGAGTGGACCAAGAAGGTGAGGCGAGCCGGCATGGTGGCCACCGGGAGCTGCTGGCTCCCAGGGGCCGGTGGCCTGGTCCCCAGGGCCGGGGCCTGAGCGATCCAGAAACAGAGCCCCAGGGGCCTGGGTGGGCACGGGAGTGATCTGCAGAGGGTGGGGGCTTTGAGCTTGGCGGGTAGAGGGCCCGGGGCAGGCGGGCGAGCTACAGCGGGGAAGCATGCTGTCCTGCCGAGAGGGCATGCCTGGAACCTGTCACCCGCAGAACTCCATGCCCAGCTGGCACACTGCAGGTCAGGGGCTCCTGGGTGGGAGGCCAGGATGCTGGTGCTTGGCCAGGAAGGGAGCAGAGGAGTGGGGAGCCGGGATTAGGGCAGCCAAGGTGCCCACCCCGAGCCTGGGGGGCTCAGGGCCTCTCGGTATGTTCATGGAGGTGCTCCGGGGTTGACTGGACGGGGAGGCAGGCAGAGCATGTATAGACGGGGCCACCCATGGCTCTCACCCCAGGAGGTGATCTGGGAGGCATCTCCATGCTTCCTTGGAGGCATCAGTGGGCATGGGCCTCTCGTGGGCATCCTCAAGGTTAGTATTTCAGGGTACACTCTGGAGTGTTTGGGAGGCTGCAGGGCCTGGGAGAGAGCTACAGATGGGCAGAAAAGCTTCAAGGACCCCTTACAGACAGACCGGGTGGGGCATTCTCTCTAGACCAGTGGTCGGCAAACTGCGGCTCTCGAGCCACATGCGGCTTTTTGGCCCCTTGAGTGTGGCTCTTCCACAAAATACCACGTGCGGGGGTGCACGTACAGTGCGATTGATACTTCATGGCCCATGCGCAGAAGTTGGCTTTTGGCTCTCAAAAGAAATCTCAATCGTTGTACTGCTGATATTTGGTTCTGTTGACTAATGAGTTTGCCGACCACTGCTCTAGACTGTAGGCCAGGAGTCCTCCGATGCTTGGAGGCTGTCTGGCTCAACTGGGAGCCCTGGGTTACTTGGAGTGGACTCAGAGGCAGCCATCTTCCCAATCCAGGTTTCAGGGGGCCCCAGCAAACTCACAGCCATGACCCCAGCCTCCAGGAGTGTGAGGGAATATGGCTGGCTCAGCCCTCAGCATCCCGTGAAGCCCGTGGCCAGCGGGTGAGCTCAGGGGAGAGCCCCCTGCACCCTGGTTCCTCTGGTCATGCTGACTGTTGTCTCGGGGCTGGGGGTCCGCCATCCTGAGCTCGCATGCTCCCTGTCTCCTGGCAGGATTCTCAGTGAGGGCACTCAGCACCTCTCTGATCCGTTTTCCCGACAGCAGGTGGGCCTGCAGTCACTGGGTCTGTATCCTTTATCTGGCTCCATGGATGATGGGCCAGGCTGCAGACATTCCTGGAAATTCCGTCTTAAGCTCCTGATGTATAACTTTCAGGGCCAGTCTGTAGCCCCCACTCTGTCTTATTTCAGGCCCCATGGGCGGTCAAGCCCCCCAGCCAGAGACCATGGGGACACTCATAGGGACCAAGTGAAGGAGGACGCCCCCTCGGGAGCCAAGGAGTGGGGGGAGATGCTGGGGGTCTGGCCCTGGTGGGGGCAGAGGTCAAGGCAGCCAGCTCTCTGTGGATGGCAGCAGGCCCTGCTTCGGGTTCTGTGGTGGCACAGGGACCTGTTCTTGTCGGCGCTTCCTTGGCCTCAGGGTGCCCTTGTTCGACGTGGATGTTCTGGAGCCTGTTTTTGCCGTGGGCGTAGGCCGGTTCGTGAAGCTCTGAGGTCGGCTGTGAGCGCCAGCTGGGTTCCCACGGAGCCATGGGGAATGGGCCGGCAGGCCCGGGGCCGTTCCTGGTTGGCTGATAAATTATTCAGGCAGTTCTCAGAACCGACTCTAACCCACTGCTGTCCAGAGGGGCCTGTGTTTTTCCACTCTTCCTTGTGCGTCATGAAAATGGCACTCGGCCGTCCAGAGGTGGCCCCCTCATTGCTACGCTGGTTTGAAGGAGGGGACCCCCAGCTTCATGGTCATGAATAGTAATTCAGAGCTGCTGGTTGCTCAGTGGTTAGAGCATCAGCCGGCAGACTGAAGGGTCACGGGTTCGATTCCGGTCAAAGGCACATATCTCAGTTGCAGGTTCAATCACTGGCCCTGGTCAGGGGGCGTGTGGGAGGCAGCCAATCAATGTGTCTCACATTGATGTTTCTCTGTCTCTTCCCCTCCCTTTCACTCTTTCTTTTTAAAAAAAAAATATATTTTTTATTGATTTTTTACAGAGAGGAAGGGAGAGAGATAGAGAGCTAGAAACGTCGATGAGAGAGAAACATCGACCACTTGCCTCTTGCACACCCCCTACCGGGGATGTGCCCACAACCAGTATATGCCCTTGACCGCAATCGAACCTGGGACCTTTCAGTCCGCAGACCGACGCTCTACCACTGAGCCAAACCGGTTTCGGCCCTTTCACTTTTTCTAAAAATCAATTGGAAAATATCCTCAGCTGAGGATTAAAAACAACAAACCAAACCAAACAAATCACACAGCAAATCCCGAAGTGGGTGTACACTGTGGTGGGCGGCAGGGTGAGCACGTGGCCTTCTCCCCAGACACTGCCACTGTGCACGTGGACACCAGCCACGGCTCTCATCACGGGGCTCCCAGCCCGCACCGAAAGTCTGTGAGTCAGGAGGACACACCGCCCTCTCTCCGCTGCTCTCCTTGCCCGTCAGACAGGGACAGTGGTACTTCAGCTCGGAGGACGGGACAAGAACCTTTATGCAGAGGGCTTAGTTTCCGTCTCCACGTGTGCACTCCAAATATGGTCGCTGTGATGTGAACCAACGGCGGGTTACGTTCAGGAGACACTTTGGCTGGCAGGCGGTGGGACTGGGAGGAATTGCCATGAGAGCTGCACCCTGAGGGATGGGGAAAGTTGGGATTTTAGGGGTGGACGTGGGGAATGGCTGGTTTGGAAGCATGAGCAGTGTGCTGGGTGAGGAGGGAGGCTGGGTGTGGTCGGCCTGAGGGCCTGGGGGTAGTGTCTGAAGCTTTGGGGGCCATGAAGAACCCGTGGAATGTGAACACTAGCCTCAGGGTGAAGGGGTTCGGGGAGCAGCAACTGATAGCAGGCAGGAAATGGTGTCATAGATATAGGTATATGATGCTAGATAGATGATAGGTATATGTCTGTTATATATCTATCTGTGTATCTGTTCAGCCAGTTTTCAGAACTGAATCTAACAGATACACAGATAGATACATAGATAGATAGGGTGGCAGGTAGATAGACAAAATATATTGGTAGGTAGGTCGACAGGTAGGGTGGGTAGATAAATATGTGGATTCATAGGTGGGTAGGAGATGGATAATTGGATGGGTGGATGTATAGATAGGTAGGTATCTAGGTAGGTAGGTAGGTAGGCAGGCAGGTAGAGTGAGGAACGGCAGGGCCCAGGCGGGAGGACCAAGGGAGAAGTCTTAAGTTAAGTAACACCATCTCATGGGCAGGGTGGACACCTTTACCCCATGGCTGTGTTTTCTGCACCACAGGCCATTCGCAAAAGATCACATTATTTGGTCCTTCAGCATCTTCATCTTCACTGTCCAGGGCCTGGGGAGTCTTTTGTGATGTAAGAGCTTTGAGGGTCCCGGCCACATGGGCAGGCAGGACTCATGCCCAGGGGTCTGGCTCCGAGTCCGGGGCCTCCATTCTAAGGGGGGCCCCAGGAGGAGGCAGGAGGCCCGCTCACCACTGGAACCCCACTTGGGGAATGCTTGTTGCAGATCCAAGACATCGTGAGGAGGCGGCAGCTGCTGACCATCTTCCGGGAAGGCAAGGACGGCCAGCAGGACGTGGACGTGGCCATCCTGCAGGCCTTGCTGAAAGGTGAGGGGCCGGCACGGTGGGGGCCATGGGGAGAAGCTAGAACGAGGGTGTTCGGGCCCTGAGTTCTGGTCGGTTGGACACACTGGTCAGAGGATGGCTGGCAGGTGGGTGCCTGTTGCCGATGTTGGGGTACAGGCGAATTCTCAATTTGTCTTTTTAACTGAAATCTGAGTGTGGTCCTTTATCTCTTTGTGGCCATGCCGGTTTCTGATAAAACCTCAGGGTAAAAAGAAAGAAGCTTGGAATCCCCACTCCTGACTCCCCACACTTGGTTCCATGCTTGAACTCCCTGCCCCCCTCCCCTCCTCCTCAGCAGAGTCAACACGTGGGTGGGGGTGGGGAGTCCTCTGACCACAGAGCCCTGGGCAGTCTGCTTGGTCTGGCCTCTGCCCTCTGGCCACGCTTCCCAGGCCCACACTTCCCTCTTCTCCCTCTGCTGGGGAAGTGAGTCCCTCCCTGTCTTCCCTGTCCTCCGGCTCCACGTGGCTGTGCTGGGAACACTCCCCACGCAGATGCTGACGCAGAAGCTTCCACGAGACAGTGTCAGACGTGACCTCTTTTCTGTATGTCCACTCCGTGTCCCTCCGTGACAGAAGGACTAAATGTTGTCCATAAAACCTCACCTAGCCAACGTGATGGTTAACCTTAGACTGGAGACTCCGGTGTAAAGTAAGGTGACCAGATGTCTGCTTTTGGCGGGACAGTCCCGATTTTTAACAATTTGTCCTGTGTCCCGCGGCATTTTAATTTTTTTTAAAAAAAATTGGGACTTTTTTATTATTTTATTTTTATTTATTTATTTATTTTAAATTATGCATTGCTTTTCTGACGTTCACATTGAACTGGATGTCCTATATTTCTTTTTCCTTTTCTTTTTTTTAAAAAAATATGTTTTACTGATTTTCCATAAAGAGGAAGGGAGAAGGATAGAGCTAGAAATGTCGATAAGAGAGAAACATCGACTAGCTGCCTCCTGCACACCCCCTACCGGGGATGTGTCCGCAATCAATATGCATGCCCTTGACCGTAATCGAACTGGGACCCTTCAGTCCGCAGACCGATGCTCTATCCACTGAGCCAAACTGGTTTCAGCAAAATCAGGACTTTTTTTAAAATGCCACAGGATGTGGGACAAATTGTTAACAATCGGGACTGTCCTGCCAAAAGCAGGACATCTGGTCACCTTAATAAAGGCCTCCGTCCAAGGAGATTCTTGCTGGAACAGAGAAGAACCGGAGTGAGCAGGTCCAACAGAACCAGAGCGAGCGCTCCGTCCTGACAGCAGCAGACTAGCGTGTGGGGCTGGGATAAGGAGGTGTGGCTCACTGCCTGCCTGTCTGGTGGGGGCGGGTCTGAGGGTGTCCCAGCACAGACGGGGCGGGGAAGCATCTGTTCCCTGCCTTCTCTTACGGGGCCAAAGGTCCAAGAGAGGGACACCGGGCAGCTCATTCCTGGGGACATCCCAGGCTGCTGTGGCCTTCAAAGGCCAAGACAAGGGAGGGGGGCATTGAGTCTAACCATCGGGGCCCAGCTGGGAGAGAAAGGACCCTATACCATGTTGCCACAGGTGTCATGGCTCAAGATGGACCCCAGGGCCCTGGCTGGTTTTGCTCAGTGGATAGCCGGTCCCGGCCTGCAGACTGAAGGGTTTCGGGTTTGATTCTGGTCAGGGCACATCCCCAGGTTTCAGGTTCCATCCCCAGTAGGAGGCATGCAGGAGGCAGCAGATCTATGATTGTCTCTCATCATTGATGTTTCTATCTCTCCCTCTCACTTCCTCTCTGGAAAAAAGAAAAAAGATGGACCCTAGGGACGTGGGGCACCAAGTCCAGCAGCCCGTGACGATGTTCAGAGTCAGCAAAGCTAGCGCTGTGGGCATGGGCCCCTCTTGCAGGTGCTGAGTGGGAGGGGCGTGAGCAAGCCTCAGGGCATTGGAATGTCCCGTCTTGATCGTGGTGGTGGCCATGCAGGTGTCCATAGAGTAAAAAGCCGTCGAGCTGTACCTTTTAGGATTTGCACACTATAGAATTCTGTTAACCTCGATGAAAAGCTTTAGCAAGGAGATGTTGGCATAGCTCCACGTTGTCACAGGTGTCAGAGCTCAGCTAGCTCCTCTTGAGGCTGAGTGTTACTCTGTCAGGAGCGGCATTTGCTGGGCATTGTGGTTGCCTCCAGTTTGGGGCTATTATGAACACGCCCATCTGTTTTCATTTCTCTCGGGTCCACGTCTAGGAGTGGAATGATGGGTTCTTCAGGGTGAGTGTATATTTAACTTTTTAAGAAACTGTCAAACCGTTTTCAAAAAAAAAAATGGCAGTTTACCTCTCTGCAGCCTTGACAACGTGTGGTATCTATTGTCCGTCCGAAGCTGCAGCCGCCCTGGCGGGTGCGAGGCAACCTCTCCCGGTGGTCCCCTGATGACTGACATCGCGAGCATTGGCCCCTGGGCTTGTTGGCCACGTGGGTAGCATCTTGTTCATGTTCACTTGGATGGTTGTCTTTTCATTTTGGGGTTGTAAAAGCTTTGGTAGATTCTAATACAAATCCTTTGTCAGATGTAGGTGCTGGGATATTTTCTCTTGGCTCCTGGTCTGCTTTTGTATTTCCTCCAGGGTGTCTCTGAAGAGCAGAAGGCTTAAGCGTTAAGGCATTTTAATTTACCAACTTGTTCCTTTCATGCTCGTGTTCTTTGCACCCAGAGAAACCTTCACCAGTCCCCTTGGTTGCAAATGCTTCTTTCTATCCATCATGGCAACTCAAGGGCACGGTTCTTAGGCTTACGTCTGTGACCCACCTGAGTTAACTTTGTGTGTGGTGTGAGGTAAGGGTCAGAGTCCTTTTTTTTTGCTTCCCCAGACAACAACCTGCGTTTGAAAATGTTAGACCTGGAAAGAGAGAACGTAAACCAGTTGGGCAAAATTCTTGCATGACCTGGGTGAGGTGGTGGTTTTGGAATCAAGACTTGAAAAGGAGCCGAAACGGGTTTGGCTCAGTGGATAGAGCGTTGACCTGCGGATTGAAAGGTCCCAGGTTTGATTTTGGTCAAGGGCATGTACCTTGGTTGCGGGCACATCCCCAAGAGGCAGCTGGTCGATGTTTCTCTCTCATCAATGTTTCTAACCCTCTATCCCTTTCCCTTCCTCTCTGTAAAAAAAAAATCAATAAAATATATTTAAAAAAAAAAAAAAAAAAGACTGAAAAGGAATGGGACAGCTCTGTGGCGGTGACATTTTAATGTGAACGTAGAAGGGCCCACCTTTTGGAGACTGGAGACTGTATGTTCCTTCAACTTAGGGCTTGACCAGGAGGTGGGCTGGGCAGGGGAGCTGGGGGGAGCCAGATGGCGACCAAAACCCAAGATTCCCTGGTTCGAACAGTGGAAGGAAAAGCTTGTATAAAGGTGTGTGTGTTGTGGGGTGGGGGGAAGACTGCAACAGAGCCCTGCACTCGTTGAATTAAAATCAACGAGTGCTGAGGCTGGTGCCCAGCCCGGCCTCTCTGGCTTTGTTAGAGGGCAGGGGTGCTGACAGACAGCGGCTTTGAGGTCCAGCTTGGAGCCTGGGATGCTGGGTTTCTCACCTGCAGCCTCTCGGAGCCACGACCACTTTGGCCACGAGAACTGGGACCACCAGCTGAAGCTGGCAGTGGCATGGAACCGCGTGGACATTGCCCGGAGCGAGATCTTCACGGATGAGCGGCAGTGGAAGGTATGGCCTCTCGGGGCTGCCCTGGGGGTGGGCGGAGGGGGTGTCACGGTCCCACAGGAATCATGCCGATCTGTCTAGATCCAGCCCTTCTCTTGGTGGAGGGTGGCCCAGCCAAGTGTCTCCTCCCTAAACTGGAGACCACAGTTGTCCCCACCCAAGGGGGTTGAAGCCTGGGTTACGGGATGGTGGTGGGGGGGCGATGACCAGATGCAGCCCCCCCCCCCCCACGTCGCTCTCTCTCAGCCTTCAGAGCTGCATCCCATGATGACGGCCGCCCTCATCTCCAACAAGCCCGACTTCGTGAAGCTCTTCCTGGAGAACGGGCTGCGGCTGAAGGAGTTTGTCACGTGGGACACGCTGCTCTACCTGTACAAGAACCTGGACCCCTCCTGCCTGTTCCACTGCAAGCTGCAGAAGGTGCTGGCCGAGGAGCCGGAGCGCGTGGCCTGCGCGCCTGCCCTGCCCGCCGTGCAGATGCACCACGTGGCGCAGGTGCTGCGGGAGCTCCTGGGCGACTCCACGCAGCCGCTGTACCCCAGGCCCCGCTCCAGCGACCGGCCGAGGCTCCTGCTGCCCGTGCCCCACATCAAGCTCAACGTGCGTGCTGGTAACGTGGCCCCCGCTCCGCGTGGCCTGCAGGCCGGGCCACGGCTGGGTCCTTAGCGCTTTGTGAGAAAATATTTGGGTTACGTTTTTATTAGAAGAGAAATACCCTTCCCGCCCTCCTCTCTGCTCCATGACAAAGGACAACAGACTGGGGCTTACACAGCAAAAGTAAGGCCTTTCTTCTGCTTGTGCCCATCGGGAGAGAGTGCTCTGTGCCGCTTCCTCTTCTTCTTCTTTTCCTTTGTTTTTAAATGTTTTTAAAAATATGTATGTTTTTATTAATTTCAGAGAGGAAGGGAGAGGGAGAGAGAGGTAGAAACATCAACCATGAGAGAGAATTATTGATTGGCTGCCTCCTGCAACCCAAGCATGTGACCTTGACCGGAATTGAATCCCGGGACCCTTCAGTCTACAGGCTAATGCTCTGTCCACTGAGCCAAATTGGTTAAGGCTGCTTTTCTCTTCTCCTTCTCCTCCTCCTCCTCCTCCTCCTTCTTCTTCTTCTTCAAAATTTTTTTTTATTGATTAAGGTATTACATGTGTGTCCTCATCCCTACATTGCTTCCTCTTCTTATAAAGACTCTAATCCTGTTGGTTCAGGGCCCCACCCATATGACCTCATTTAATCCTAACTACCCACCGCCTTAGAGACCCTGTCTCCAAATACAGTCACACTGGGAGTTGGGGAGTCAACATATCAATTTGGGGAGGGACATAATTCAGCCCATCACTTACTTTCTGAAAATTTCATAATATTTTTAAAAATATATATTTTATTGATTTTTAACAGAGAGAAAGGGAGAGAGATAGAGAGCTAGAAACGTTGATGAGAGAGAAACATCGACCAGCTGCCTCTTGCACACCCCCTACCGGGAATGTGCCCGCAACCAAGGTATTATACATGCCCTTGACCGGAATCGAACCTGGGACCTTTCAGTCCGCAGACCGATGCTCTACCACTGAGCCAAACCGGCTTCGGCACTTTCTGAAAATTTCAAATGATACAAAAGGTTATGTAAGGAAAATGGTCCCCATTGTGCCCTAGACCCCAAGTCCTGCTCACCGGGTGGGCTCACAAGTCACAATATTCCACCCATGACTGTATGAGGTGCCCTGGCGCTGGTGTATCATCAGGGAGTATTTGTCCGGTCATTAAAACTTTATAAGCTGAGCCTCAGTGCTGTTTTGTCAGTTTCCCTTTGAGAACTTGAACTACTCTTTGAGCTTGAGGGATTATTTTTAATAGATTTTTTTTTTCTGATTGTGAAATGTTTTTTTTTTTTTTTTTTTTTTTTGCTGTTTTGGCTCTCACCTTGATGGCAGGGTTAGGTGTGTTTAGTATGACCCTGGGTTCTCTTGCCAATATTTTCAGGGGTTTGCATTAGAATGTTTAAGGCTTTGATTGTACTTTTATCTCGGGGGCTGTCTTTGCCAGGTTCTGGTACCAGTTCTGTGTCAGTCTTGTAAAACCCGCTGGCAAGCCTTCCTTCTTCCTCTGCTCTGGAACAGTTGATGGGGCTGGAATTCACTGCTTCTTACAAGCTCAGCAGGCTCCGCTGTGAGTCCATCGGGGCCTGGGGCCCTTTTTGGATAGAAGCTCTGATAACGTCTTCATTTTCTATCCTGATGATTTCTCTGTGGTATTGGTGGTGGTTCCTGCAACCTAAAATCATATTGTTTTGTTTGGTTTCTTTCCTGCTAGAAAATGACCCACTTCTTCTGGGTTTTTGCGTGTGATTGTTGTACCAGGCAAGCTCTGCCTGACCCCTGAGAAAGGCATGGCTGTGGTTGCATTACCCGTGTTTGTGGTTCTGCTTTTCTTGATCCCAGTGTTGTGTTTAAGATACTCAGCGGGAAGGTACTTTAGAAAGTCCAAAAGAGAGGCTCACACTTGACCATGTCTGCAATTTAAGAAGATAAGCTATTTTTTTAAAAAATAAAGATGGGCATTTGGGAAACTTCCAGAACCACTTAGAGAAAGTGCCGTTTTGTGTGTGAGACGGAGGATGGGAACTCTGTTTCTGGGAATTGTGTCCAGGCTGGCTGAGTGTGTGTTTACTGACTGACCCGCCGGGAAGCCTCGTGCCTCTCTGCTGCCTGAGTGTGTCTGCCACCCAGTGCCTTCTGTCCTCATAGACCCTCAGGATCTGCCCAGCAGCCTTTTCTGCTTGCTTTCTCTTTCACAAGACACGGTGTGGGTCCCTGAAGAGCTCATAGCTATGGCTCTGGCAACAGACTCTGTGTTAGAATTTTTCTTCATAGACAGGGGCTTTGATGGGGTTGGGTAGGATTGAGGAACCTTGAGCAGCCTGGAGTGTCATAGGATCTACACATGTTGGTGCGGGAACCACTGGTATCCCACCTTCTGGATGCTTTTATGTGTGTCCAGTGATGGGTTTTTAACCCCGGTGTTCATGATGCTGTTGAAAACGCAGGTGACAGGGCTCGTCCCCAGGGGCAGAGGTTGAGAAGACGTGGGCTGCGCTCAGGACCTGCACTCCGCCAGGCCCCCTGGGGAACCTGATGCAGTTGCTCTGATTGTCCACCGCTCACAGGTGCAGGGAGTGAGTCTCCGGTCTCTCTACAAACGCTCATCAGGCCAGGTCGCCTTCACCATGGACCCGGTCCGCGATCTTCTCATTTGGGCCATCATCCAGAACCGCCGGGAGCTGGCAGAAATCATCTGGGCTCAGGTAACCAGATACGTGGCTGTGAGCGAGCCAATGACAGGGCTCCAGCAGGGAGCCTGGCCAGCGAGCCCAGCACTGACAGCAGCAGGTGGGGTGGCCAGAGCCGTGGAGGGAGGGCAAGGGATGCCACAACACCTGAAGGTACTCGGGGTGTCCAGTGTTGAGAACAGAGGGCTTAGCTCTAGGCAAGACAATAATTGTTTAAAAGGTGAGGTACAGCTGAAACCGGATAGCTCAGTGGACAGAGTGTCGGCCTGCGGACTGAAAGGTCCCGGGTTCGATTCCAGTCAAGGGCATGTACGTTGGTTGCGGGCGCATCCCCAGTAGGGGTGTGCAAGAGTCAGCTGATCGATGATTCTCTCTCATCGATGTTTCTAACTCTCTATCCCGTTCTTTTCCTCTCTGTAAAAATAAATAAATAAAATATATTAAAAAAATAAATAAAATAAAAGGTGAGATACACAGACTCCAGCAGGTCCATGCAGGGAGGAGGCTGGGCCCCATGGGCTCTGGGGGTCAGTGCCTGAGCTGTGGCCATTCTATTCAGAGGCTGCAGGGCAAGCTCTGTCCCAGGAGGGGCTGCGTCTCCCCATTGGCTGTTGGAGATCTCCAGGAGACCATCTGTTACTTGGTTGGGAGCAGGCCTGGCGCCCTGCCTGAGCCTGGCTCCAGCCGATTCTCCTCTTTAAGGGAAAGTAAAATTAGTAAGTTTTTCTCAGAGAGGCCCCTGGTTTTAGTGCTGGCATTTCTGAATTGCTCTCAAAGAGTTAGCTCTCCCCCAGTTGTCACCAGCAGTGTGGCATTGGATGTGGTCCTGGGAGGTTCGTCCTTCCCCTGGGGCAGAGTGGTCAGCACTGGGCCGGGCCTGACTGTGGCCTCAGGTGCCCTGTGGGGCTTGGGGGTGGGGATGATGGAAGGCCAAACGCAGACTCCCAGGCTCTGACACCAGCCCTCATGCTGGGCTGGCGCTGCTCCTGCACCCAGCACCTCCGGGCTGTGGTTTGAGGGCCTCCTGAGGTTTTCTCAGTCCCCCTCTGGGCCTGGGCTGGCGGTGCCACACAGGCAGGGTGCCCTGAGCCTGGACGGAGACCTGCAGGGCCTGGTCCTGTTTCTCTCCATTGGTGCTCTCTGACCCTCAGCCCCACATCTGGGTTGACCAGATGCCCCGGGGAGCTGGGCCTCCTGCCAGCAGTGCTGTGCTGGTGCCCTCTGTCCAGCTTGCGTTTGGGAGGGCAGGCGAGCTGCCTGGGAAGCAGCCCACTTCCATGGACCCGTGCAGAAGGCCGGGCCTCAGAAATGGTATCTGTGTTGTTGTGGGAGACCCAAATGGTCTGTAAAGACAGGGGCCACGGCAAGCAACGCCCAGGGCCTCCTGCTCTCCCAGGGTCTCTGCCTTCATCACCCCGGGCAGAGGGTCTGTGGACCCCGCGGGCCCTGACGGTAGCTCCCCTGGCCCAGAGCCAGGACTGCATCGCCGCGGCCTTGGCCTGCAGCAAGATCCTCAAGGAGCTCTCCAAGGAGGAGGAGGACACGGACAGCTCCGAGGAGATGCTGGCGCTCGCCGACCAGTACGAGCACAGAGCCATCGGTGAGTCGACGGGCTGGGCCTCCCGCCCGCCCAGCACCCTGAGTCGCCCTGGGGTCCTCGTCCCGGATCCCAGCCCCTCGGCGTCCCTCTGAGGTCCTCCTTGCCCAGATGTCAGTTCCACTCCTGTCCCATCTGTGCCGTCTGGAGGGGCCCTGGGTGGGGACCCTGCTGCTGTGACAGGGCCCTGCTCTCCGCAGGCGTCTTCACTGAGTGCTACCGGAAGGACGAGGAGAGAGCGCAGAAGCTGCTCACCCGGGTGTCCGAGGCCTGGGGCAAGACCACCTGCCTGCAGCTGGCCCTGGAGGCCAAGGACATGAAGTTCGTGTCCCACGGGGGCATCCAGGTGACCGCAGGCGGGCTGCTTCCGGGAATAGCCGCCTGGTGCTGTCGTGGCGATGCAGCCTCCGCCCAGTAGAGGGCGCACATGTCCACCGGTTTCGGGTCCATTTGGAAGAGGGATGATGCCAGACCTGTGGGTCACCTGCTGCAGAGCCCGGAGGCCCTCCTCCCCCCTATTGATGGGGAAGGAAACTAATGCTAAAGGAGAGGCAGGACGTTAGTCACCTCCACACAGGGCGCTCCTACCTGGACACCCCCCCTCCCCCCCCCCGTGACCCCAGGAGCCAGGGCTGTGGGCATCCCCCACCTGGGGCCTCGGGAGAAGGCGGAGCAGGGAGCCCTCCACACGCTCCGGAGCCTGGAGTTTGGCAGGTGCCTCCAGAACACCAGCACTGCCATGAGCACCGCTTCGTGCTGACACCATGCCCATGGAGCACTGTCATGCCCCGTGCTGTGCTGGGGCCTGGGAAGATGGTGGGGAGGAGTCCTGTCCCCTCTTTTATTCCCCCCAACCCCCCCGCCTCCACACAGTGCTCAGAGGGCCAGCTGTGAGAGCCAGGGAGGAGGGCCCTGAGCCACAAGCCAGGGTGTGGCCCCCTCTCTCCGCCCTCATCTCTGGGAGAGCCCAGCCTGCCCACCGGGAGCCGCTCCTCACTGGCAGGTGGCAGGCTGCCCTGTGCCACTCACTGACTCTCATGGTTGGGAGGGGGCAAAGGGCACTGTGCTGAGCATGTGGACTCCCCCTCAAGGGTGGGCTCCCGCCTCAAGGGTGGGGCCCAGGGAGCCCCAGGGGAGGATGGGGTAAAGGGCCCACTGTCCTGAAGCTGGCCCCTCTGTCCACAGGCCTTCCTGACCAAGGTGTGGTGGGGCCAGCTCAGCGTGGACAACGGGCTCTGGCGGGTGATCCTGTGCATGCTGGCCTTCCCGCTGCTCACCACCAGCCTCGTCTCCTTCAGGTGCCACCCGGCTGAGGGGCTGAGGGGCTGTGGGGCTGTGGGGCTGTGGGGCTGCGGGCATGTGGGGCTGCAGGGCTGCGGGTGATCTCAATGCCCTCACCAGGGACAAGCTGTGTGTATCCTCAGGGCAGTGACTGGATCCTAGATGGTGGGGATGCATCAGGCAGGAGGCAGAGGGAGGGGCCTCACCTGTGCAAAGCTCCAACCTGCCCTGAACACCCACCTGCCCTGAACACCCACCTGCCCTGGACACCCACCTGCCCCGGGCACCCACCTGCCCCGAGCATCCTCCTGACCTGGGAACCCACCTGCCCCGAGCACCCACCTGCCCTGAACACCCACCTGCCCCGAGCACCCTCCTGACCTGGGCACCCACCTGCCCCGGGCACCCACCTGCCCTGAGCACCCACCTGCACTGAGCACCACCTGCTCTGAGTGGCTGAGGATCTGTTAAGGCTCCTCAGATCCAGGCCACGGGCTCAGTTGGGGTCCTTGCTCTCCAGGGCATCTGGTGGGGCTCTGCCGTAGCTGTGTGTGCAGGGCGATAGGGGGGTGCCCGCCCTCCCCTGCCACAGGTGTGAGCACATGCGGGGCGCCCTGAGCACAGGGGCCTGGGTCAGGGGGCTCAGTCCCCAGGCCGCAGGCCCCTCACGGCTGCGCTGTCGCCGCAGGGACCGGAGGCTGCAGGCGGTGCGGGGCCTGGCCCGGGTCCGAGCCTTCTTCAACGCGCCCGTGGTCATCTTCCACCTGAACATCCTGTCCTACTTCACCTTCCTCTGCCTCTTCGCCTACGTGCTCATGGTGGACTTCCAGCCCTCGCCCTCCTGGTGCGAGCGCCTCATCTACCTCTGGCTCTTCTCCCTGGTGTGCGAGGAGCTGCGGCAGGTGCGTCCCGCCCCCCCTCGCCGGCCTTGGGGGAGTCTCCCTGCCCACTGGGCCCCTCCCGCCCGCCACGGTCACTGTCTCCCGCTGCTCACACTGTGTAACCGTCCCACCTGTCGGGACCTGGGCAATGGAAGGAGGTGCGGGCCCCCTGTCTGCCAGCCTCCCCCTGCCCTCCTCCCCTCAGGCCTCCTGCAGCCAGGAGGGGCCAGGCTCACAGGGGCCGCCCACAGCCCAGGGCATTCCCTTCTCCTCTAGTCAGCCCGGTGGTCCATGAGGGACCTGGTTGTTCCCAGGGGGCCCCCTGCCCCACCCTGCAGCTGCCTGGGTCTGGGACCTGGTACCCAGAGGAGGGTGTGGGGACCCCCGCCAGGCTCTCATAGTCACTCCAGGGTCTCCCCCTCCTCGTGGAGCTGCAGGGACCTGGCTCCTGCCTGTGGAGAGGGCTTCCCCAACACTCATTTGCATACGGTGCATTTGCATACTGTACATTTGCATATGGGGCGGGGCTGAGGCCATGTACCTGGAGGTGGGTCTCAGTGGCACCTTCTGCCCAGGCTCCTCCCGCTGTTCCTGACTCACGGTGGGGGGGACGGTGGGAATCCGTCCCCTCCCCTCCGCAGTAGCCTCACTCTCCAGGAGGGGGCGAGCATTGTACTTGGGGTAAGATAAGAGCCAGGGCAGCCAGGCCCTGTAATGGTCCTCTCACAGCTCCTCTACGACCCTGACGAGTGTGGGCTGGTGAAGATGGCGCTCCTGTACTTCAGCGACTTCTGGAACAAGCTGGACATCGCCGCCATCCTGCTCTTCGTCGCGGGCCTGACCTGCCGGTGAGCGGCCTCTCCCCTGGGCGCCTGCCCCAGCGGTGGCCTCGAGGCTGGACCAGAGCCGGCCACTCTCAGGGACTTGGCTGCCTCTGAATGGGTCTGTCTGTCCAGTGGGCGACCCTGTCCCCCCCCCCCCCCGGGGATGGCTGCCACATGCACGGTCCCCTTTCTCCATGAAGCTGAGGGCCCCCTCCAGCCTCCTGTCCCAGGATGCCTGCACAGCTGGCTACCTGCCCGAGGCTGGGCTTCTAGATCTTTCTGGAGAATAAGCGCTGCACCCCACTGGAGACTCTGTCCCCTGAGCTCACACCCAGTTTTTAGAACTTCAGGGCCCAGGAATCGCTAGAGCCCTTTGCTCCAGGGCCCACACGTGGGCATGGGCATGGGCATGGGCAGGCGAGCGGGTGGCTGGGGACAGGCTGTGGGAGCAGCAAACTGAGGGCCCTGACTCTGCCCTGGGCCAGGCTGATCCCAGGATTGCTGTACCCCGGGCGCATTGTCCTCTCTCTGGACTTCATCATGTTCTGCCTCCGGCTGATGCACATATTCACCATCAGCAAGACGCTGGGGCCCAAGATAATCATCGTGAAGCGGATGGTAAGGAGACGAGGGGCCTGATGGCAGCTGCAAACGAGGCGCACCGGGGCTTAACGCATACACACCCCTGCTTGGCCCTGGGTGCTCACCTCCTGGCACACCTGTCTCAGGGCTTTTCCTGTATACCACCTCTTCCAGGCAGCCCTCCCTGATTGCCACAGCGCATTCCTGATCCCTGTCACAGCTCCTGTTGATCCCCTCTGTGGGTCACAGTCACATCCAACCCCCCCTACACATTGGGGTGTGCTCAGGACCCCACTGGGACGTGGCCGCAGTCCCCCAGGGCTGTGTCCCCGGAGCACCTGCAGCGTGGGTGTCGGTACTTCTCCCTCCGCTGTGGGGTTCACAGCCAGGCAGGGAGGGTGGGGTGGGGTCCACTCGTGGTCAGGGAGAATGAGGCGTGCGTGGGGCTGCAGCCGGGGCCGCCTTGTCTCTGCAGATGAAGGACGTCTTCTTCTTCCTCTTCCTGCTGGCCGTGTGGGTTGTGTCCTTCGGGGTGGCCAAGCAGGCCATCCTCATCCACAACGAGAGCCGGGTGGACTGGATCTTCCGGGGGGTGGTGTACCAGTCGTACCTCACCATCTTCGGGCAGATCCCGGCCTACATCGACGGTAAGACAGGCCCTGACCGCGGTGGGAGAGGAACCCCCCCAGGGGTCCTGGGAGCTCCCGGGGTGAGGAGAGGAGGGTGGGCATTCCCCACGTGCCGAATACTGCTCCTGGGGGGGAGTTCCTGGGGTCCCCCTGGGAAAGAAACGGCAGGTGCACACCTTGTCCAGCTGAGCGAGCGGGGAAGGCATCAGCGGGGTGGGGACGGGTGCTGAGCTGCACCTCAAAGCTTCGGCTGAGATCCTGGTGCATCGAGGGTGTGGCCTGGGGCACTGGGCATCCGTGACACCCCCTCCCCAGCGTTAGTGTCACCCTATTCCTTCTCCCCCCCACCCCCATTCAGAAATAACTTTCTCCTTAGATGGAAAGAACGCTTTGTGTATACGGGATTTTGCCTTTACTTGCTAACTTTAGAATCTAAAATTTAGGATCTAATTTTACATTTGCAGATATCCACTCACATTTAGAATCTGATTTAACAAGTGCATCACCCCAAAAGACACCCATACAGATTAGCAGTCACTCCCCGTCCCCTCCTCTGTTCAGCCATAGGAAAGCTCCAATCTACCTTTCATCTCTATAGATGTCTTTTGTGGACACTGCCTATAGATTGGAGGACGCAACATGTAGTCTTTTGTGTCTTGCATAATGTTTTCAAGATTCGTTCGTATCTGCCTAATCGGTTTGGTTCAGTGGCTAGAGCGTCGGCCTGCGGACTGAAAGGTCCCAGGTTCAATTCTGGTCAAAGGCATGTACCTGGGTTGTGGGCACATCCCCAGTAGGAGGCGTGCAGGAGGCAGCTGATCGATGTTTCTCTCTCATCGATATTTCTTTTTTTCTTTTTTTAAATATATTTTATTGATTTTTGTACAGAGAGGAAGGGAGAGAGATAGAGAGTTAGAAACATCGATGAGAGAGAGTCATCGATCAGCTGCCTCCTGCACACCCCTTACTGGGGATATGCCCGCAACCAAGGTACATGCCCTTGACCGGAATCGAACCCGGGTCCCTTCAGTCCCCTGGCTGACGCTCTATCCATTGAGCCAAACCGGTTTCGGCATCTGATCGATATTTCTAACTCTATCTCTCTCCATCCTCTGTGTAAAAAAATCAATAAAATATATTTTTAAAAAAAGATTCGTAGCCTGTATTAGCATTTTACTTCTTCTTTGTGGCTAAATAATATCCCATTGTGGCAAGGTATCTCACTCCTTTTTTTGTTTCTTCCTAAGAGGGTGAGCATTGGAGTTGTTTGCACTGTTTGGCTGCTATGAACACTGTAGCTGTGAACAGTTACTTAGAGCTTTTGTGTTGAAATTTTTTAACTTCTCCTGGATATATTCCTATCAGCAAAACTGCTGGGTTAATGGTAGCCCATGAGAAACTGCAAACTGTGTTCCTTAGCGCCTGCTCCGTTTTTATCCCCCTGACCGTGCTCGGGTTCCAGTTTCTCCATCTCCTCACCAACACCTGGTCCTGGCCGGCTTTCTTACCCCGGCAGGTCCGGTGGATGTGGAGTGTGTCTCGCTGTGGTTTTCGTTTGCTTTTCCCTGATGCGATGAAGTTGAGCACCTCTCCATGTACTGACGGAGCCGTTTCTGTGTCTTCCTTGGAGTAATAACTATCCCTAACCTTTGCCCATTTTCTAAGTGGGTTGTTATTAAGGTGTTAAGAGTTCTTTACATATGGATACCATCCCATTCCATGGATCTGTCTGTCTGTCCTTGTGTCAGTACAACGCTTTCTCAGTTACTATAGCTCTACATTAAGTTTAAAAGTCAGGAAGCTTGAGTCTGTCCTTCACCTTGGTTCTTTCTCAAGGTTGTTTTGGCCTCTGGGTCCTTTGGATCCATATGAATTTTTGGATCAACTGATTAATTAAAAAAAAAAAAGATAAAAAGGCATCTAGGATTTTGATTGTGAACATGGGAGGTCTTTCCACTCACTTAGATCTATCATTTCTTTCAATGCCATTTTGTAGTTTTCATTGTATAAGTCGTTCTACTTTTATTAAATTTGTTCCTAATTGTTTTATTTTTTTTCATACTGTTGTAAATGGAATGGTCCTATTAAGTTTGTTTTGTTTGTTGCTACTGTATAGAAACATACTACATTTTGTATCTGGAAGTCTTTTTTTTTTTTTTAAATACATTTTATTGATGTTTTACAGAGAGGAAGGGAGAGGGATGGAGAGTTAGAAACATCATGAAACAGAAACATCGATCAGCTGCCTCTTGCACACCCCCCATTGGGGATGTGCCCACAACCAAGGTACATGCCCTTGACTGGAATTGAACCTGGGACCTTTCAGTCTGCAGGCCGACGCTCTATCCACTGAGCCAAACCGGTTAGGGCTGTACTGGAAGTCTTGCCAAACTTCTTTATTAGATCAAGTTGATTTTTTAATGGGTTGCATGGGATTTGCTCTATAAAAGATCATGTCATCTGCAAGTAGAGATACTTTTACTCGTTCCTTTCCAATCTGGATGCCTTTTATTTCTTTCTTTCTTTCTTTCTTTCTTTCTTTTTTTTTTTTTTTTGCCTACTTACCCTGCTGGCACAATGCTGAGGATAAGTATTGAGAGCACATCTCTTTATCTTGTCCTGGATCTTAGGGGGTGGGAAGCTTTTAGTCCTTCACTGTTAAGTACGATGCGGTGAGTTTCCTGGAAATGTCCGTTATCTGGTTGAAGAAGTTCCCTTCTATTCCTGATTTCTTGAGTGTTTTTATTAAGAAAGGCTGTTAGATTTTGTCAAATGCCCTTTCCGCATCTCTTGAAATGTTATTATATTCATTGATTTTCAGATGTTCAACCAGCTCTAGGTTCCTGGGATACATCTCACTGCATCACGGTGTATATCCCCCTTACAGGCTGCTGGGCTCAGTGTCCTAGCATGTTGTGAGGGCTTTTGCATCTTATTCCCAAAGGGAATTGGTCTGTAGTTTTCTTGTCATGTTTTGTCTTCTTTTGGTATCTGGGGATGCTGGCTTCATAGAGTGACTTAGGAGGTACTCCCTCCTTTCTTATATTTTGGAAAAGTTTGTGGAAGATTTACCTTAATTCTTCTTTATACACTTGGTAGACTTTACCAGTGAAGCCATCTGGGCCTGAATATGTGTATGTGTTAAGTTTTAAAATTATGAATTCAATCTTGTTACTTGTTGCAGGTCTATTTGTATTTTCTATTTCTTCTTCAGTTTGGTAGTTTATGTCTTTCTAGGAATAGGTCCATTTTTCTAAGTGATCTGATGTGTTAGCATGCAATTTTTTATAGCATGTCTTTATGGTTCTTTTTATTTTTGTAACGTTGGCAGTGCTGTCCTCTTTTCATTTATGATTTTAGTAATCTGAGCCACTTTTTTTTCCTCCCCTGATGCAGTGTAGAAAGAAGGTTGTGATTTTGTTGCTCATTTTCAAGAACCGGATTTTGGTTTTGTTCATTTTGTTTTTAAAAAATACTTTATTTTAATTATTTGCATTCTGGCCTTTATTACTTTCTTCTGCTTGCTTTGGATTTAGTTTGCTTTTCTCTTTTTAGTTCACTGAAGTGGAAGGTTATGTTATTAATTTGAGCTCTTCTTTTTAATATAGACTGAGTGGCCAGATTATTATGATCTCTGAATGAATAATAATCTGGCTACTCAGTGTATATTCTATATAATGAAAGGCTAATATGCAAATTGTCCCCTTGACCAGGAGTTCGACCAGGAGGCAGGCCGGCCAACCACCCATGTCCCCTCCCCCTGGCCAGGCTGGCCGGACCCCACCCATGCACAAATTCACTCACCAGGCCTCTAACACACACACACACACACACACACACACACACACACACACACACACACGCTGAGTGGCCACGTTATTATGTATTCAGAGATAATAATAATCTGGCCACCTATGATAGTGAGTTTCTAGCTCAGAAAATTAGTAACACTTTCAAAAATATATTTGATTACAAAAACAAAACAAAACAGTGCATAATCATTATTGAAAAAATTTAAAAATTCAAACTTAAGTACAAAGAAAAACGTGGTCCTTAATCCACATCCCAGAGTTAACCACTATTAACACCGTGGTGTGTTTCCCTAGGTATTTTTTCATATACCATTCAAATTTATGCTTTATGATATGCCCCTGCTCTACCATGCCTCCTTCTCTCTTCACTAGTTTTTTTTTTAAATTTATTTATTGATTAAGGTATCACATATTTGTCCTTATCCCCCCATTCCCATCCCAAACCTCTTCCCATGCATGCCCCACCCCTCTGTTGTCCGTGACCACTGGTTAGGCTTGTATGCATGCACACAAGTCCTTTGGTTGATCTCTCCCCCTTACTCCTCCCTCCCTTACCTTCCCTCTGAGGTTTGATAGTCTGATCCATGCTTCCCTGTCTCCGGGTCTGTTCTTGTTCATCAGTTTATGTTGTTCATCATTTCCCCTAGATGCGTGAGATCATGTGCTATTAGAAATACACTTATAAGAACCGAAAATGAGACAAGCAATAATGGTTATGCTGAGAGGCAAATGAATCAGTCTATAGTGAGTTTCTTTCTGGGCCAACAGTTCTTTTGAGACCCAATTTCAACGTCAAACAGTTCCTTATGTGTACATGTCATCAATGACATTTAGCTCTGGATGGTGGACAAATGGTGGTGATGCCTGTTTGACCCTCTCTGGTTGCAGGTTGCCCAGGATCTACACTAGTTGTTAATTTCCTCCTTTTGAATCCTCTCCACTGCACGGGGCTTTCCAGGCTGGGACCCGTGTGTGAGCAGTGACAGCCCTCCCGGAGCCAGCCTGGGACATGCTGGTGGGATGGCTGGTCCTGGGCAGGGTCCCGTGCCAGCCTGCAGAGGAGGCCGGCTCGGGGGGCTTCCGTTGGCAGCCGCACGTCCTGCCCCCAGGGGATGCCTGGGTGCAGGTGGACGCCTCTCTTTGGGGCTGAGCTGCTAGCCGAGGTCACCCAGAGGTGCAGGTGCCCAGGCCTGTGCCTGCATGGCTTTCTTAGTTCTCTGCCCCCTCCCCATACTAGGCGTGGACTTCAGCCTGGACCATTGCAGCCCCAATGGCACTGACCCCTACAAGCCCAAGTGCCCTGAGAGCGACGCCAGCCGGCACCAGCCCATCTTCCCCGAGTGGCTGACGGTCATCCTGCTCTGCCTGTACCTGCTCTTCACGAACATCCTGCTGCTCAACCTGCTCATCGCCATGTTCAAGTGAGTGCTTGGACCTAGGCCCAGCTCGCTGACACCCCCCCCCCACTCCCCGCCATCACCACCATCGGTGCCAGTGGACCCTGAGCTGGGACCCAGGACCCAGACGCTCTGAGGTGCTTTATTCAACCCAGGCTGGACTATGCCCATCACTCTCCCTGCCCACTGTCCCGGGCACTGATGTGTCTCTCCAGGGCACTGCTGCTGGGGACCAGCGGTCTGGTCATTCAGCCTTCCCCTTATCAGCCAGGTTGCTGAGGTTGTCACTTTCTGGTTTGCTGGGACACATCCTGAACATGTGCTAGACTCTGATACAGAGGCCGAAGGGGCTCTGTCCCATAGCAAGGAAAGCAATATATATATATATAATACACATACACACACACACACACACACACACACAATTGATTTCAGAGAGGAAGGGAGAGGGAGAGAGAGATAGAAACATCAATGATGAGAAAGAATCATTGATCGGCTGCCTCCTGCATGCACCCTACTGGGGATCGAGCCCACAACCCAGGCATGTGCCCTGGCCAGAATGGAACCTGGGACCCTTCAGTCCACAGACTGATGCTCTATCCATGGCACCAAACTGACTAGGGCGCAAGTGCTTTTCTGAGCAAACGTGCCTTCCCGTTGCAGATACTGTCGCTTCTGTTTGTTGGATTGAACCGATAGACTCCTTTTATTTTTATTTAAAAAAAATTTTTTTATTGATTTCAGAGAGGAAGAGAGAGAGAGAAACATCAATGATGAGAGAGAATCACTGATTAGCTGCCTCCTGCACACCCCACACTGGGGACCGAGCCTGCAACCCGAAGGGTTGCATGTGCCTTTGACCGGAATCAAACCCGAGACCCCTCAGTTCACAGGCCGACGCTCTATCCACTGAGCCAAACTGCCCAGGGCCCCAATAGATTCCTTTTAGAGTTCAACACCAAGACAGGGTCCATCTCCCACGGTGTCTGCTTTCTTTTATCACCAGCAAGGCGTACACACCACAATCCTGGCATTCTTTCCTTCTCCCCTGCCTCGCAGGCAGCTCGGGATTCTGCATCCGGCTGCTCGGCTGTCTTTTTCTGCCCCCAGAGTCACCCTCTGGGGAGGTGTGTGTCTAGTCCTGGGCTGTCACTGGCCCCCGGGGCAGTGAGATGGGGGGGGTGCCTGTTCCTGCTTCGTTGCACTGCGTCTGGTCATTCTCTGTAACCGGCGTGCCCCTTGCCACCCGCCAGCTACACGTTCCAGCAGGTGCAGGAGCACACGGACCAGATCTGGAAGTTCCAGCGCCATGACCTGATTGAGGAGTACCAGGGCCGGCCCCCGGCCCCGCCCCCCTTCATCCTGCTCAGCCATCTGCATCTCTTCATCAAGAGGGTCATCCTCAAGATCCCCGCCAAGCGGCACAAGCAGCTCAGTGAGCTGCCCTCCGCTCTCCCGGAGCGCTGTCCTCGGGGGTCTCGGGGCCACCTGTGGGCTCGGGGTGGCTCTGGCGATTCCTTCTAGAGTCCTAGAAGCTTGGGAAGAATGCAGCCGGTGCAGAGCAGGAAGCTCCTAGCAGGCCCCTCGGGGGGGGGGGGGGGGGCGTGGCTCAGGGGCAGGATCCCAGGAGGGCCTGGGCGTGGGCCGGGGCCCCTCATGCGTCCTCCCCACGCAGAGAACAAGCTGGAGAAGAACGAGGAGGCCGCGCTCCTGTCCTGGGAGATCTACCTGAAGGAGAACTACCTGCAGAACCAGCAGTACCAGCAGAAGCAGAGGACGGAGCAGAAGATCCAAGACATTAGCAGCAGGTAAGGAGGGGCCATTCGGTTCGGAGACATGCCAGGCACATGGCCCTCCTCAGTGGTCACCTGGGACGGGAACCCTCAGTGATGTGGCCAGAACAACTCTACCAGCACTGGACCTGTGTCCTCCAGCTGACCCACAGCCCTCCCTCTGGGTCTTGGGAAGGCCAGGTGCTGTGGGCGGGGCTGACCCTGAAAGGTGGGGTGGGGTGGGCTGGAGGAGGGGCAGGTGGGCCCGCGGGAGGCCAGCTGGGGGACGGGAGGGTGGACAGTGAGCACGCCTGCACTCGGCTACGCCTCAGCTGCCATGGGGGCTGGGGTAGCCCGACCGACTCTCAGGCCCGCTCAGCACATGCTCAGTTCCTGCTCAGCTCTTCCCACCCCGCTTGCTTCCAGGGTGCCAGGTCCCTGTTGCGGGAGAGGTCTCTCCCTCCCTCTCTCCACCCTGCCCCTCAGCCCTGTGGGCACCAGAGGGCCTGGCTGCCAGGGACCCAGACGTGGAAGAGCTTGGTCTTGTGTGTGTGTCACTGTGGGCCAGGAGGAGGGGGCATGGGGACATGTAGTCATGGCAGCTCCTGGCCTGGCACCGAGGTTCCTGCAGGCCATAGAGAGGGCTTCCTGGGGAGCATGCAACCCCCCACCCCCACAACCCACCTCTCCTAAGAGATAGGCACCAGCCTTTCTCCATCTCTCGGCTCATCTGTGAAATGGCGACAGTGACAGTATCCATCGCCTGGAGTCCCTTCCAGAACATGGGAGCATGTGTGAAGCGTGAGCACTCCCTGGACTAGAGACACGCCAGCACACGCTGGCTGTGTGTGGCTTTCTGTCACCGTTGCGCAGGAGTGATGGTGATGGTGCCCCTACATGGGCGTCTCCTCTTCCTGCGTCAGCCGAGGGATTCCAGGCCCAGAGGCAGCATGGCACCCAGGCTGAGCCTGCCCCTCAGGGCGCTCCTTCGTGACGGGACAGTTCCTGCTTGTCATAGGGGCTGAGTCATAGCCAGCCAATTGCACGTGGTCGCTTTCCCTCCAGCAGCCAGGCTGGCCGGGGACAGGGTGCTGAGCAATCACGTGGCTTTTCGGAAATGAAGCAACACATAGCAAGGGCCCTCAGTGAGGTCATTATCTCCCCTTTCTCTCACCGTGGGCCGCAGCCCAGCTTAGGGTTCAGTGTCACTGAAAGGGTTGCCCATGTTCATGAAGAAGAGACAGGAAGGGAAGACCTCTGGCCATAAACAGCCAGAGTCTGGTGGACTGGGCTGTGGAATTATCTCACCCATACACACAGCCGGACTACGCTGGGTGAGATGCCCACACTGTAGCTAAATAAGACAAAGCCCAAGCAACCGTTCCCCAAATGACAGCACGGCCTTCCTGCAGACCCCGGCAGCTTTGTTGCGTGTGCCTTAGGTTCTGGAGCTCATGGCTTCGGGGAGCAGCTCGGCCACGGGTGCACCTCACACCTGCGTCTCCTGCCAGGATGCTCTGTAGGCAGTGGGAGTGGCAGTGGGAGCCTGGGGCATCCACTGGCTAAGAGGTCTCCCTCCTTGGGCACCAGGCAGTCTATACAGGAACACGTCCTGCAGGCCCTGCTCTGCCACCTCTGGCCCCGACTGGCCTCTGACTGTGCTCTCCAGAGCCCCTGTCTCCCCAGACTCCAGGCCCCATGCCCCTGAGCTCCAACAGCTGCCTCCCAGCCCCAGCCCTCCAGCGTCTGGTACTCAACTGCCCATACCTCGTCCTGGCGCCCGATGCCCACGCCTGCTGCCTGATATAAGAACACCTGGTGCCCCAACACTCAGCTGCCTTGATCCTCGGCCCCTGGGCCCGGCCACGACGACAGGTGGGCCCAGGCCAGGGCATGGAGAGGTCGCAGGATGACCCCAAGCAAAGAGTCATCCTCTGAGCGCCAGGCTTGTAACCGACTCCCTGAAATGTCACGGGAACAGCCCGCCAGCCTGTCCAGGAGAAAACAAGCCCATGCCCCCCCGTGCCCCCCTCCCCCCAAAAAAAGAACATGTACTATAAACATTAAGAGGAAGACACTTGAAATTAAGGCCGACAGAGCCCCGGCTGTGGACTCGGAGGAGGCTGGCCCTGAGCCCCTCACTGCCCAGCCCCAGGCAGGCCCGCCAGGCTCCACTGTGCACTCTTGCAGGGTGGACACCATGGTGGACCTGCTGGAGATGGACCGGCTGAAGGGTTCGGGCTCCATGGAACAGAGACTGGCCTCCCTGGAGAAGCAGGTGGGTTTCGGGCCGGGCCTGTGTTTCTGGGGCACAGATCCCCGGGCCTGGCTGTGGGGCCTGGCACCTGGGAACCACCAAGAGGAGGTGGGGAACGTGGGGCACCTGTTCCTCATGGGAAGAGCGCCTTCTTTTCCCTCTGGAAAACTCTGCCCGAGCCCCCTGGCGGGGCTCCAGCACACAGCACTGCGAGGCACCACGTAGGGGCTGTTCTAAGGCGTAAACTCTCGTCCCCTCCTCTAGCCTCCTCTGGCCTATCTCCCGACCTGGGGGGTGGTGGGGGTCGCCCCAGCCCTGGCTGCCTCAGCGCTCCTGGCAGAGCTCCGCTGGCTTCCTGGCCGCCTGGGGAGCGGCAGCTATAGGGGTGGCCTGGGCAGGCGGGCAGGCGCTGACCGGATGCCGTGTGGGACCCCCTTGCAGGTGGCCCAGACAGCCAGAGCGCTGCACTGGGTCGTGAAGACCCTGCGGGACAGCGGCTTTGGCTCGGACGAGGGCGCCCCCACCCTGGGTGAGTGGGTGGCTGTTCTTCTGAGTCCGGGGACTGTGGGGAGGAGAGGCACCGGGCAGGGCTCCTGTGGGCTTGGAGGAAGAACTGGGGAGGGTGCCCCCCGCCTGTGGGCCAGATGCCCGAGCCGGGCCAGCTTTGCCCACGCTCCTGTGGCTGTCCCCAGCCTCCCAGGCGGCCTCGGAGGGGCAGGACCCGGAGCTGGACGGCAGGCAGAAGACGGAGGACCTGGGCGACACCCACCACATCAACGCCCGGCACCTGCTCTACCCCAACTCTCCCATCGTGCGTTTCCCGGTGCCCAACGAGAAGGTGCCCTGGGAGGTGAGTGCTGTCCTGGCTGCACCCCGTTCCCCCCGGGCTCTGGGGCCGGGTGCTGGGAGGAGCTGTCCGGCCTGAACCCGCTGACGTGGCCGGGCACCCGCTGGGGTGGCCCACGCAGCGTCACAGGGGCTTGCTGGACAGATTCGGTCCCCAACCCTCAGGTCCACACAGCGGGAGGTGGCAGAGCTGGGACATGAGCCTGGGGAGCCCCATGGGCCTCTGATGCACAGAGAGCCGACCGCCCCTCAACTCTGGTCGCCCCACGTGGCCGGGTCCCACTGTCCCCAGGGCATGGCCAGTGCCCCCTTTCACGAGCGCCAGGCGAGCGGGAGCATCTGAGAGAGGGAACGAGAGGGAGGCATGGGTCATGGCATCCACCCCAGCCCGCAGGCTTTGCCCCTGGCCCTCCCGGAACATTCCGGGTTGGTATCTCCATTGCCAGTCGGAATCCTCACCAGCCCTGCCAGTCGGAATCCTCACCTCTCAGGTCCAGCCCAGACCCCGCCCGACCTGGGAAGCCTCCCCTAGACGCCAGTTCTGTCTCCAGCCCTGGGCCTGGGTCCTGGATGGCAAGACTCTCAGGTCCGCCCAGCTCAGAGCTGCTGCGGGCGCCTGGCATGGTCTCAGGTCCCGGGCCGTGCGCGCCTGGAGGAGCAGCCGCTGCCGCAGCCCTCTGGGTGCCTGGGCCTGAGCTTTGGGCGGGGGACGGTCTGAGAGAGCCCTGTTCCGTGCAGACAGAGTTTCTCATCTACGACCCGCCCTTCTACTCGGCCGAGAGGAAGGACAAGGACCTGGTGGACCCCGTGGGAAAGTGAGTGTGCGCTCCTCCTCTCCCCCTCCCTCACACCCAGGGCTGGGGGGCGGGAACCCCCCCAGGGCGAGGGCCTGCTGCCTGCCTGGACCGCTTTGCCCTCCCCAGAGCCTGGGACAGGCTGGGAGGGGCCTCTCAGGTGTGCTCACCCCGAGCCCTGCCCTCCCCCCTCGCCCTCTCTGACCCGGGCCCTGACTGCTCCCCGTCCCCCCCAGCGCCCTGGACCCTCTGGCCGGGATCACCTACAACGCCCTGGACGGGCCCACGGACCGCCGCAGCTTCCACGGCAGCTACGCGGTTCAGGAGGGGCTCCCCCTGTGAGTGCGCACGGGGCCTTGGGGGCGTTCCTGCTGGGCCAGCTTTCCTCTCGGTGAAGGCTGGCGTGTGCCTCCCCGGCTCCTGGGAGGAAGGGCCTCCTGGCTGGGGCTGCGGGGGAAGAAGGGGCCCCGAGGAGGACGACAGGTGGCTGGGCGTGTGGAAACCCCAGGGAGCAGGCAGAGCAGGGCCCTAGGGAGGAGGCAGTGGCGGCCTCTTCGGAATGTTCTGGAAAAGCTGTGCCGGGATCCGGAGGACAGCGGTCAGACCTGGGTGCTGGGCTTCTCTCCTGTTTCAGTGGTAGATTCACACGAACCCACCCAGTGTCCTGCGTTCGTTCTTTCCGAGAGGACCGGGCAGGGTGGAGGAGTCGGCTCTGCCCAGCGGGGACCCTCGGTCTCCGTGTCAGGGTCCTGGGCTCGGGGAGCAGGGACAAGCCACGTGCTGGGGCCAGGTCTCCCCGGCGGGTCCACGCTGGTGACCCCTTCCTGGTCTGTGGCACAGCCTCTGGACGCCCCTGGAGCCTGGCCCGGGACCCCCGCTGCCCCCCCTCACACGTGTGGCTGGCACAATGGGTCAGTCCCGCGCCCTCGGCCACAGGAAGGCCACAATGACACCCGATGCATCTGCAGGGGGGCCAGACTTGGCTCCTCAGGGCACCCTTTTCTTTTCCAACCGACCCCATGGCACCCTGAAGCCCCCGCCTCACCCCTCGGGGTCCCCACGGGCTGGTCCTCCCGGCGGCGGGCTGAGCAGGCCCCTCTCCACCCAGGAACCCCATGGGCCGCACAGGGCTGCGCGGGCGCGGGGCCCTCTGCTGCTTCGGACCCAACCACACGCTGCAGCCCGTGGTCACTCGGTGAGTCCGCCAGGGACGAGGTCACCCACTCGCCCGTGAGGGACTCCCTTCCGGGGCCCTCCCCATGCGCCCGGAGAGCCCCGAGGACAACTCCCTTTGGGTACTTGGTGGCAGCCTCACAGCATGACGCACCTCAAAATCCAGGGCAAGCCCAGGCCCGTTCCCCTTCCCAACAGAGCTCCCCTCACTACCCGTGGGTCCCCTCCCTTAGAGCCTGTGGGAGGAGGGACAGGACAGCGAGGACCCCTGGCCACGGATGAACCAAAAATAGGCAAGATGTGGCCCAGCCGGGTCCCTAAGAAATAGTCTCCCAAGGCTGGCCGTGCAGTCCTCCAGCGGCCACGGGATGGGGAGACACCCTGATGGTGCCGGGCGGGAGCAGGTCCTCAGGGAGGACACAGGGCTGGGCCCTGGGGAGGCTGCGGGTGGGGGCTGCGGTGCTTGGAGGGGGGGGACCTGGCACAGAGCCTGGGAGGACAGGTGTGAGCCAGTCCCTCTGCAGGTGGAGGAGGAACCAGGACGGAGCCATTTGCCGGAGGAGCATCAAGAAAGTGCTGGAGGTGCTAGTGGTGAAGCACGTCCTGGCAGAGCACTGGGCCTTGCCAGGGGTGAGCCACCAACGGCCCCCGTGCCCCTGTCACTCGTCCTCCATCCGTCTGCCCACACACACACAGAACGGCACCCGCCTGCGGCCTCTGCTCGGCAGTCCTGGGCCCTGCCCCTGGTTCCTAATGACAAAGCTGGGGACTGGGTGGTGCTGCAGGTCTTTGGAATTGATTCCAGGGCGCTGGGCAGCTCTCGCCCTGCACCCCAAACCCCGTGGCTCCCACGTGAGGGGGTGTGGCTCTGAGCACTGGGCACGGAAGGGTGTCTGCTGAGCCTGCACTGGTCCCGGAGTCCGAGGCAGAATGGACAAGGCCGTGAGGGGCAGTGATGAACAAGCAGGGTCCCCTAGGTGGGTGGGGGAAGAGAGGGGCCGTGTCCATGGACAGTTGGCCTCGGGAGTGGCTGAGTGGCCGGGAGCCCAGGGGGACCACAGAGGTGAGAGATGGGGTCTGGGGAATGCAAACAAACAATAAAAACACAGCCCTCCCGATGGCGGCCGGGGGTGGAGGTCAGGGCACTGGCGACCTCACGGGGAGCCGAGAGACACCAGAGTCCGGCAGGCACTCCTCCCAGGCTGTGCCTTTGGCCTCACAGCCCTGCTGTGGAGCCGGCTGACGTGGGCAGTGGGCTCTGGGCAATGTCACTCTGGCCCGAGACAGTCAGACTGCCAGGCGCTGTCGGCCTGCGGCTCTGGGGGTCTGGCTGGCGGCCCGTGCCGGGCAGGTGGCCAGCGGAGGTGGGTCCCCGGATGGCCTGTGGACGAGCCTTGCCTCCCTCTCTGCTCAGGGCTCCCGGGAACCCGGAGAGACGCTGCCCCGGAAGCTGAAGCAGGTTCTCCAGAGAGAGTTCTGGCCTTCCTTCGAGAGCCTGCTGCTGCAGGGCACTGAGGTAGGTGGTGCTCTGTGTCCCGGGCCCCGCAGTGCTGGCGGTGAGGCTGCAGGAGGAGCAGGGGATAGGGGACCTGCTCTGGCCCACGTCTCCCCCCGCTCCTGGAGGAAGGAGCTGGGACCAGAGGCCGTGGCTGTGGCTGGGGGCCTCCTCGCCTTCCCTCTCTGTCCCCATTTCTTCTCTAAGTCAATGGGGCCAGGCTGTTGTCAGCCTCTCCTTCCCACTCTCACCCCGGCCCGGAGCACAGCTGGCTCCCAGGGGGCCCTCAGCACCTGTGCCTCCCAGGGCAGAAGGGCTGGGGGTGCTCGCCAAGCCCCATCAAGAACGTGAGACTGAGTCCTCACACGTCAGGCCTATTTGCCTTATTGAATCCTTTTTTTTTTTTTTTTTTTTTTAAATTTCTTAACTATATTTTTATTGATTTCAGAGAGGAAGGGAGAGGGAGAAGGAGAGAGAAACATCAATGATGAGAGAGAATCATTGACCGGCTGCCTCCTTCATGCCTCCTACTGGGGATGGAGCCTGCAACCCATGTGCCCTTGACCAGAATCGAACCTGGGACCCTTTAGTCCACAGGCTGACGCTCTAGCCACTTAGCCAAACCGGCTAGGGCTGAATCCTTTCTTAATTACAAAAGAAACGTGTTTGCCACAGCATCCGAAATGCAGCCCGGTCACCGGTGAACGTCAAAGCCGGCTACCCCTCACACACCCAGGTGCCACGGGGCACAGACCCCTGCTTGCTTCTCAGGCCCCCGGTGGCACCTGGGCGTGTGAGGGTAGAGGTGGCTTCGAGATTCACCGTGCGGGCTCTGTCTCTGGCTTTCTGTCCACATGGGAACGCACACACATACACACACTTCTTCAATAAGTCACTGGCCTCATTCTCTGTACCATGCTATTTCACTTCACTGGTGATGGTCATAGCTGTAGGTTTGTATTTGTAGGGCTTGTTTTTCACGACTGTATAATGTCTTGCAGATTTTATATATTTTGTGCCATGCTTTGCTTAAACAGTTCTCAGGGTGGCACCTAAGTTGTCTCGGGTCCTGTTTCTATGCATGTCAGGCCGACTCTGACCTGCCCCCAGCTGGTCCTTATGGTTTGTCCCTTTTTCCTCTGGGACCCTGCCATCTCCCGTTTCCTTACTGGGCAAAAATAAGGAGTTTATTTGTCCAGGTGATATCCAAACAGCATAAAATGAGCCATTTTAAAGCGAACCGTTCTGTGGCATCTAGTACATTGACTGTGCTGTGAGACCATCACCTCTACATCAGAATATTTCCATCACCCCAAAAAGAGCCCCCACGGTCACTTCCTTCCCTCCCCCCGCCCCTGGCCACCCCATGTGTGTTCTGTCTCTGCATGTGCCTGTTCAAGACATTAATGTTATGTGGAGCACACAGCATGTGGTCTCTGGTGTCCAGATTACTGTGATATAGGCCCACGGTCATTTTCAATCCCTCCGTGGACAGTCCAGTGGGTCCTGATGTCAGGCCAGAGGCCAGGAGGGACATGGGTGAGCCCGTGGGCCGCCTCAGGGTGCTGGCCAAGGCTGAAGGCTGGGGTGGCAGCCGCTGGACAGGCAGGGGGGAGCCAGGCCAGGGACCTGGGTGCCGTGCAGCGATGCTCAGAGCGTCCCAGGGCCGGCCGAGCTCAGGACAGGGAGGCCCTTGCTCTGGAGGAAGCCGGCAGGCTCAGGGTCGGTTGGGGGGGTCTGGCTCACCCTGTGCTGCCCCCCCCCACAGGTGTACAAAGGCTACGTGGACGACCCTCGGAACACGGACAATGCCTGGATCGAGACGGTGGCTGTCAGCGTCCACTTCCCAGACCAGAGCGACGTGGAGCTGAAGAGGCTGAATTCTGTATGGGGCTCAGGCCGCAGGCTCCCAGGATGGCGGAGGGGGCGGGGCCTGTAGGGAGGGGGCTCATGGGCTCCTGGGCCAGGGCCAGAGCTGCTGGGGACCCTGAGATGTGGTCCTTCCGGAGCCCCCAGGCTTGCACCGGGGGAGGCCAGTTTGTACACCTTTAAGGGGATACTGTCCCCTGAATTTAGCTCAGTCCGACACGTCCCCAATCCAGAACTGGGACCACGAGGTCCCAGGGGACAAACCCAGGCCGTTAACTGCAGGACAAACTCTCCGAACGAGGTGCCTGCTCTGTCCTCGCCCGCGGGCTTTCGGGCTCTACAGGCCTTTTCCGAGTTGCGTCCGAAGTGAATGTCTTTTTAAATTTTTTAAAAAAATATATTTTATTGATTTTTTACAGAGAGGAAGAGAGAGGGATAGAGAGTTAGAAACATCGATGAGAGAGAATCATCGATCAGCTGCCTCTTGCACACCCCCCATTGGGGATGTGCCCACAACCAAGGTACATGCCCTTGACCGGAATCGAACCCGGACCTTTCAGTCCGACACTATCCACTGAGCCAAACCAGTTTCAGCCGAAGTGGGTGTCTTTGCTCCGGGCGATAACAGCCCAGCGGAGGCCCAGAGGTGGGGGTCAGGGCCTGGGTGCTGGCGGCAGCCCGGGGTGAGGATGTGCCTTTCCTTGCAGCACCTGCACGCCAGCGACCCCGGGATGTCTGTCCGATGGCAGGTCGTGGACAAGCGCATCTCGCTGTACGCCAACCACAAGGCCATCCTGCAGAAGGTGGCCGCGCTGTTCGGGGCTTACTACTGAGCCTGGGGCTCCAGGGCCAGTCTGTCCCCAGCCCCTCGGAGATCAGGCTGCAGGGGCCTCGGAGAGGATGGGGTTTGGGGACCTGCCACCCCTCAGCCAACTGGAGTCTCGCACCGGCATCTCCTCAGGACTGTGGTGGCCACGGGGACCCTGCCAGCCATCACTGCCTCTCCTGAGCCGCAGGCAGCCAATTGAGGGGCTGGAGCCTCCTGACAACCTTGGCCTTGGGCCGGAGTCGAGTCTCCCTGGGAACGCTGTCATGAGCAGCAGGTCCTCCACCGGAGGCACGTCAGTCCAAGGCCTGTGTCCCTGGAGCGTTGGGGTTCCCACATGGCCGCCTCCTCAGCCCATGCGTCCAAGATGGCCTCCATCGTGGCCTGACTCAGACCCTCGCCTGGCCTGGGGCGGGCCCTGGGGGAACCCCAGTTTACAGCCTGGGCCACCGTCAGGGCTGAGCAGAGGCCTTCTCCAAAGACACAGAGGGTCCCTGCCTGTGGGGGCCCGGGACCCAGCTCTCCTGCACACGCGCTCCCTCTGTCCTTCCCTGTGAGCCCAGGGAGCGTGGGCGGGGATGGGGCACGCCATTTAGCGTCAGCGAGCCACAGACCATCAGCATCAGCCATCAGGAGCATCAGGAGCAGGAAGTTGTCAAACCCGACCTTAAGTCCGCTGCCCCAGGCCACCTGGCCGTCCCCGGCCGCCCGGCCAGCTCTCCGGTGCCTCCTGCTAATAAAGTGCCAGCGGGGCAGTGGTCGGGAGCTGTGTGTGGGCCACTGAAACCTCTACCAGCCCACGGCCACGCTTCCTGTGGCCCGAGGGCCTCTCCTGTGGCGTCTCCCCGTGTTTGTGGGCTGTGTGAGTGTATGTGTGTGTGTCTGATTGTGTATATTTGTGTATGTGTGTAGATGTGTGTTTGTGTCTCTGTGTTTGTGTGTGTACGTGTATAGATGTGGATGTATATGTGTGTCTGTGAATGTGTGTGAGTGTGTGTGTGAGTATATGTGTGTATACATATATAGATGTGGATATTGTGTTTGTATGACTATATGTGTATATGTGAGCTCATGTGAGTGTATGTATGTGTGAGTGTATGTGAGTATATGTACATGTACATGTATAGATGTGTATGTGTGTGTATGAGTGTGTGTAAGTAAATGTGTGAGTGTATATATGTGTGTGAGTGCATGTATGTGTGAGTGTATGCGTACATACACATGGATGTGTGTTTGTGTATATGTGTGAGTGTGAGTATGTGTATATGTGTGTGGAAGAGTGCGTGTGTATATCTTGAGAGTGTGTGAGGTATAAGTGTGTGTGAGTGTGTGTGTATGTGAGTGTGTGTGTATATATGTGCATATACATGTATAGATGTGGATGTGTGTATGTATATATGTGTGTGAGTGTGTGTGTGTGAGTGTATGAGTGTATGTGCGTGAGTGTATGTGTGAGAGTGTATGAGTGTGTGTGGGAGTGCATGTATATGAGTGTATGAGTGTGTGTGAGTGTATGTGTGTGAGTGTATGAGTGTGTGTGAGTGTATGAGTGTATGTGAGTGTATGAGTGTATGTGCGTGAGTGTATGTGTGAGAGTGTATGAGTGTGTGTGGGAGTGCATGTATATGAGTGTATGAGTGTGTGTGAGTGTATGTGTGTGAGTGTATGAGTGTGTGTGAGTGTATGAGTGTATGTGAGTGTATGAGTGTATGTGCGTGAGTGTATGTGTGAGAGTGTATGAGTGTGTGTGGGAGTGCATGTATATGAGTGTATGAGTGTGTGTGAGTGTATGTGTGTGAGTGTATGAGTGTGTGTGAGTGTATGAGTGTATGTGCGTGAGTGTATGTGCGAGAGTGTATGAGTGTGTGTGGGAGTGCATGTATATGAGTGTATGAGTGTGTGTGAATGTATGTGTGTGAGTGTATGAGTGTGTGTGCGTGTGAGTGTATGTGTGAGAGTGTATGAGTGTGTGTGGGAGTGCATGTATATGAGTGTATGAGTGTGTGTGAGTGTATGAGTGTGTGTGAGTGTGTGTATGTGAGTATGTGTGAATATATGCATGTATACATGTATAGATGCATATGTGTATATATGTGTGTAAGCGTATGTGTGTGTGAGCATATGTGTGTGTGTGTGAGTGTATGTGTGAAAATGTATGAGTGTGTGTGGGAGTGCATGTATATGAATGTATGAGTGTGTGTGTGTGTGTGTGTGTGCAGGAGAGCCAGCAGAGAAGACAGGCCTGGACACCCGGGAACGGTACTGGAGGGGGTGAAGGCAGCCCTCTGCTCTGCAGGGAAACAGCCGCCAGGACGGGGCAGTGGTTCTGAGGGATCTGCGGGCTGCCGGCGCCGTGCCGGCAGGGAGACAGCTCGGGGCCTGTGCTCTTGGGAAGCCTGGGAGGGGAACCATTGCCGGCCTTATCTTAGGGTTTCCAGTCTGGATTTTCAAGAGCAGGCAGAGAACCAGGAATTCTGGAAGATCCAGGAATTCAGAGATCTAGGAATCCTCGGAATGTAGTGGGGGTCAGTGTGGCCAAAGCTGCAGGGGACAACTTAGCCAAAGGCAGTCCCTCCACGAAGGCTCTGGGCCAGCAGGGTCCCTGGCCCCAGCTTTTTGCTTCTCAGGCAACAAATGGGCTCCCGGCTAGCTGCCCTTGTCCCGCCTCTGCCTGGGAGCTGGCTGGCCTTACGGTGCCCAGCAGGCCTGGGCTTCTGTCTGAGGGTCCCATGGGCAGGTGGGAACAGTGTGGAGGCTGGGCACCAGAGGGCTGAGCCAGGCACAGTGGAAGGGCAGGGAGGGGGAGCAGCCAGCACACCCCTGGACACGCCATGGCCCAAGTGAGGGCCTTCCAGGCCACTGTTCGGTCTCTGCGTGGGGAGGGCAGGATCTGGGCTCCCCGGATGTTTTGTTCATCTGCCTGATTCCATCCGGCCCTGGTGATGCCCCACGCTCGGCTCCTCACTCCTTCCGGAGAGAAGACTCAGACCTCATCCTGCAGAACAGCCTCCGGACGGGAAGGCAATTAACAAGCCCAGCGCTGCACTCGCTCCCTGGGGCCACGAGGCCGGTTCCGGGCGGATAAATAAGCCAGATAATCAGCCCGGAGCCCAATTACAGGAAGAAGGGTGGCCTGGTGGGCAGAGCACGTGGCCAGGATGGCATCGGAAGGGAGCTGCTGTGTTTGGGATGGACAGCGAGCGAGCGAGCGAGGCTCTCACGGGGCCTGCAGCCCGAGCCTGGCCGGCAGCCAGAGCCTCCGGTGGACCTCTGACATCATCACTAGTCAGGGAGGCTGAGAACCAAGGGAGACTGCTCGGCACAGCCTTCCTCGGGCACCTGGAACTGACAGGTCCAACCGCCCGTCCACGTGTACGTCATTCCCACGGGGGCTCCCAGTGAGCGGCACGCCTGCTCCACACGTTAGGAGCACACGTCCGTCACTGCACACATTGTGAGTGTGACCCGCTGATGGATTTTTTATGTTAACAAGCAGCACCCAGATCCAGATACACCCACCTCAGGAGCCCCTCCACCTCCATCCCCTTCGCCTCATTTCCAACCCTATCCCCACCCCCATCCCTATCCCCAGTCCCCACCCCTATCCCTATCCCCAGTCCCCTCCCCCATCCCTATCCCCAATCCCCACCCCCATCCCTATCCCCAGTCCCCACCCCCATCCCTATTCCCAGTCCCCACCCCCATCCCTATCCCCAATCCCCACCCCCATCCCTATCCCCAGTCCCCACCCCCATCCCTATCCCCAATCCCCACCCCCATCCCTATCCCCAGTCCCCACCCCCATCCCTATCCCCAGTCCCCACCCCCATCCCTATCCCCAGTCCCCACCCCCATCCCTATCCTCAATCCCACCCCCATCCCTATCCTCAGTCCCACCCCCATCCCTATCCCCAGTCCCCACCCCCATCCCTATCCCCAATCCCCACCCCCATACCTATCCCCAGTCCCCACCCCCATACCTATCCCCAGTCCCCACCCCCATCCCTATCCCCAGTCCCCACCCCCATCCCTACCCCCAGTCCCCACCCCCATCCCTATCCTCAATCCCACCCCCATCCCTATCCTCAGTCCCACCCCCATCCCTATCCCCAGTCCCCACCCCCATCCCTATCCCCAGTCCCCACCCCATCCCTATCCTCAGTCCCACCCCCATCCCTATCCTCAGTCCCACCCCCATCCCTATCCCCAGTCCCCACCCCCATCCCTATCCCCAATCCCCACCCCCATCCCTATCCCCAGTCCCCACCCCCATCCCTATCCCCAGTCCCCACCCCCATCCCTACCCCCAGTCCCCACCCCCATCCCTATCCTCAATCCCACCCCCATCCCTATCCTCAGTCCCACCCCCATCCCTATCCCCAGTCCCCACCCCCATCCCTATCCCCAGTCCCCACCCCATCCCTATCCTCAATCCCACCCCCATCCCTATCCTCAGTCCCACCCCCATCCCTATCCCCAGTCCCCACCCCCATCCCTATCCCCAATCCCCACCCCCATCCCTATCCCCAGTCCCCACCCCCATACCTATCCCCAGTCCCAACCCCCATCCCTATCCCCAGTCCCCACCCCCATCCCTACCCCCAGTCCCCACCCCCATCCCTACCCCCAGTCCCCACCCCCATCCCTATCCTCAATCCCATCCCGAGTTCCACCACCCGGAGTGTGACCTGCTCTTGAACTTCCCATAAACAGAAACCCACAGTGTGAGCTCTGAGTGTCCAGCCCCTCCCACTCGCCCGCATCCGTCCTGTACTTCTCTTGTTGATCGCCATATACCTTGTTGAACTATTAAAAACGTTCCATTATTTGCCAGAAGATAGTATACCAGCAGCTTCCTGGCTGACAGTATTTTAATCTCTGAGAGGCGGCGGTTGGCTGTGGAAGGCAGAAATAATGTCTTGTAGGTCCCTGCACACGTGGACACAAACCGTAGACCACAGCCCAGCCCCGAGGGTGCGCACGGGCTGCAGGGCGCTCACTGGCGGC